TTGATAGTATGATGAATTGAAGGATGGCCAATCCCCCAAAAAGTCAAACATAGTCGCGGGGTGATACGATTAACGTGATCAAGCCTTGTAAAGATATTGAATACGTTGTTCACTAACCATCAATAAAAACAAACAAACACCGTCATGACCAATTCTAGATTACTGTACAGTATGTTTACCACTAGTATTGATGAATGACATTGTGGAAGGGAGAAAATGGAAGCAATTTATGGCTTTAGTGGTAGATAACGATATTTTCAATGTAAAGGACGATACTTTAATCATCAGTGGTAGTTGAGAGGAAAACGAGCAAGAATTAGAAGGAGATACTTGCAATCAAAGTAGGATCAGAAAGGTGTCATGCAATATTGTTTCAATTGATTGGCTCCTTTTATGAATCAATTATATTATAGAAGTTGTTGAAATTGGATTGAGGTAGGAGTAGTTATGAAAAATACGTCTAGATGGAAACTTTTGGAGGCTATTGTTGAAAGTAATAAAATGATAAACAGCCTAAAATCTGCATGACTTTGCTACCCATGGAAATGATAGTAACGCTTTGTGTAGCAATTATGATCTCTAGTTGTACTGTATTGGTTGATTTAATAGAGTGATACAAATAGTCAAGGTGATTTCCGAGTATGCATTTTAATGATGGAGTGTACCCCATGAAGAGTGGATGGTTGTAGGGCTATTTTTCAATCGATTGTAGAATGCAATGATATTGAATTATGTTGAAAGCATGCTACTGCAGCTTACCCGACAATCTCTAACGGTAAATATTGCGGTGGATAGACTTCGCTGACATCACTTGTACTAGGATCCGTATCCAGCTCGCTTTCTTGTGTATCCAGTAACGACATGTTGATTGATTAATTGAAGATTATCTGACTATTGGCATGGTCATGGATAGATGAGAAGCAAAAAAAAAAAAAAATGGAAAAACCTTTGAAAATAGATTCAAGATAGCACAATCCATTTGTAAAGTAGAGTATAATTATATCAACACATTTGCAAAGTCAAGCCAAAGGCTGGAAAGTGAATGGAATCCACTTTCTTGCTTGACTTGTTATCATTCTTAGTATCATCTAATGCTAAAATCGACCTAGATCACTGTCTATTCATGATGCACGATTGCATTCAAAAGACTAGAAAAGAAATGAAACATGACTATGATTGTTTCCTATCGTCGATAGTACTACTGTCTGCATGGAGAAGAAGTTTTACGTATGGATACATTGCATAGCCATGATGGCCATTGACTTTCTTGTCTTGCCATTTTACTCTATTCAAAACCTACTTGAAAGGTCCAATGACGCGTTTATACAGCAAAAAGGAAACTTTCCATTGCATCTTTTTCTTCTGGTGACAACGATTAAAGGCAAGATAGGACGTCAAGATGTCCACTGCAATAAGATAATGATTGGCAATAGGATTAGAAGAAGGTTCTCCTAAGAAAAAAAAGGGGAAAAAAAAGTTTTTGCAATGGATGCTCTTGAGATTGGATCGCCAACTGCTGCAAAACAACTCTCTCGCCGATTCTCCTGTGTCACGATCACTTGGCTGGTGGGTCTACCCTAGGCGCTAGAAACACCACCGAGATTGTAGAGAAGAGACTGGATCGAGTGGCGTGCCTGCTACGGCCAACCTGGATGCAAGAAAAGGGTACTGGAGTCGAGTATAAGGGTTTGGATCATGCTAACGATTGAGTAACGCAACCTACACTCCGCCTATTACGGTACAGTATAGGTGAAGACGTCGATGGTGATTGTGGCTGCCATTGACTCAACAGTACTGGTTCTCCAATCTGTCACGCAAACTCACCCAGCAGTTCCTTCACCCTTCTACTGCGACTGCGCATCATTCCTTGGCTAGAAAAGGGTATTGGAGTCCGAGTATAAGGGCTTGGATTATGCTATCGATTGGGTAACGCAACCTACACTCCGCCTATTACGGTACAGTATAGGTGAAGACGTCGATGGTGATTGTGGCTGCCATTGACTCAACAGTACTGGTTCTCCAATCTGTCACGCAAACTCACCCAGCAGTTCCTTCACCCTTCTACTGCGACTGCGCATCATTCCTTGGCTAGAAAAGGGTATTGGAAAGGGGTATAACCCGGTACAGTATACAGTAGGTGAAGACGTCGATGGTGATTGTGCCTGCCATTGACTCAACAGTACTGGTTCTACAATCTGTCACGCAAACTCACCCAGCAATTTCCTTCACCCTTCTGCTGCGACTGCGCATCATTCCCTGGCTAGTATAAGGGCTTGGATCACGCTATCGATTGGGTAAAGCAACCTACACTCCGCCTATTACGGTACAGTATAGGTGAAGACGTCGATGGTGATTGTGCCTGCCATTGACTCAACAGTACTGGTTCTACAATCTGTCACGCAAACTCACCCAGCAGTTCCTTCACCCTTCTACTGCGACTGCGCATCATTCCTTGGCTAGAAAAGGGTATTGGAAAGGGGTATAACCCGGTACAGTATACAGTAGGTGAAGACGTCGATGGTGATTGTGCCTGCCATTGACTCAACAGTACTGGTTCTACAATCTGTCACGCAAACTCACCCAGCAATTTCCTTCACCCTTCTGCTGCGACTGCGCATCATTCCCTGGCTAGTATAAGGGCTTGGATCACGCTATCGATTGGGTAACGCAACCTATACTCCGCCTATTACGGTACAGTATAGGTGAAGACGTCGATGGTGATTGTGCCTGCCATTGACTCAACAGTACTGGTTCTACAATCTGTCACGCAAACTCACCCAGCAGTTCCTTCACCCTTCTAGTACTGCGACTGCGCATCATTCCTTGGCTAGAAAAGGGTATCGGAAAGGGGTATAACCCGGTACAGTATACAGTAGGTGAAGACGTCGATGGTGATTGTGCCTGCCATTGACTCAACAGTACTGGTTCTACAATCTGTCACGCAAACTCACCCAGCAATTTCCTTCACCCTTCTAGTACTGCGACTGCGCATCATTCCTTGGCTAGAAAAGGGTATTGGAAAGGGGTATAAGCCGGTACAGTACTGTATACAGTAGGTGAAGACGTCGATGGTGATTGTGCCTGCCATTGACTCAACAGTACTGGTTCTACAATCTGTCACGCAAACTCACCCAGCAGTTCCTTCACCCTTCTACTGCGACTGCGCATCATTCCTTGGCTAGAAAAGGGTATTGGAAAGGGGTATAAGCCGGTACAGTACTGTATACAGTAGGTGAAGACGTCGATGGTGATTGTGCCTGCCATTGACTCAACAGTACTGGTTCTACAATCTGTCACGCAAACTCACCCAGCAGTTCCTTCACCCTTCTACTGCGACTGCGCATCATTCCTTGGCTAGAAAAGGGTATTGGAAAGGGGTATAACCCGGTACAGTATACAGTAGGTGAAGACGTCGATGGTGATTGTGCCTGCCATTGACTCAACAGTACTGGTTCTACAATCTGTCACGCAAACTCACCCAGCAGTTCCTTCACCCTTCTACTGCGACTGCGCATTATTCCCTGGCTTTTTCGCCCAACACAGATCGGATTGATATCAATATGGGATAAACGACTGACAGGTTACTACAGTACTGCAAATAGACAAACGATTGGCCATCGCTGGCCTGTACCAACTCCAATCTTGACTGGCGAAACCACTTTCAAGCATACTGCTGTTGCTGCTATAATGTGGAAATTTTCTTTTTTTAAATAAGATTGTAATGTCATGACACTGTCAAAACACACACACACACATCAAGCAACATTCATGTCGATTGGGAATGGGAGAATTTGGGATTCGTACAGTATGGATAAAAGTCGAGATCAGTCGGTAACCCCGCCATTGCTCAATGCTCATTGGATACAGGACGGCGGCGCTACAAGGCCACGCATTGTACACAGTAGAAATACTGTGCACTGTACACTGTACATGACACGTTATGCGCATGCACGTTACTCGTGATCGTCCTTTATCACGCGCCACTGCTGATGTTTTTGTCGTGTATTGCTGCGTGGACAAATACCTAATAGTACACTATAGTACTGGCTGTACTGTATTGGTATATCCATAGTGCCTTTCAAACTGGTTACCACTACTTTTGTACGCATACAGTACTGTCTAGTCAGTACAGACTGATACTGTACGAGTGGACGTGTGGACCAGAGTGTGCACAACTGCGTGGTGAGAAATAAGCTACTTCACGCTATGAAAAAGAACCAGTCAAAGTGTAAAACTAGTACAATTGGATGTTGAGCCATTTCTATGGAAAAGTAAAGCGATTTTATCACCAGTCCATGACCACTGACTACAGCAATGGACGCTGATTGTGTACTTTGGTTGAAATTTGAGCAAACTTTCCATCTGATTGAGTTAGGTCATACTGGACACTATAGTTCAGCAGTAGTTTGTGGGTACGTTACTGTACAGTATAAAACCACCGATGCGGTTGTCTTGAGTACAGTACTATAGACTGTAGACGTACAGTATTTTGAACAGCCACGGACGGTGAAGCAAGGGACGCTCCAACCACCCTCAGCTTCACACTCTCGATCATAACTGCATGCAAAATAAGGGAAAGAAAAAACAGAAATTGGGTGGTCGAGGAGTCGCCTGGGTTAATAAGCAAGGCATTTTATTGCTGCACCGATGGGCTAGTCTATGTATAAAGAGCGAAAGAAACCGCTCTTTGGCAGTCTACTGTACAGTAGCTTTGACCATCTAGCAGGTAATGTACTGTACAGTGTACACTAGTAAATACTGTACTAGTAATAGAGTACAGTACAGTACAGTACTGTAGAACAAGCGTGGGTTGTGACTGTACAGTACTAGACTCAAGAACTGTACACTGTACACAGTAGCCTCGAGTACGCCAACTGTACTGGACCGGACCGGATCGGACTGGACCACTGTAAGCGCGGCAGACACACCATTGGCGGCCTCCATCGGCAGCAAACTAATCTAAATCGCAATATCATTTTCTGCCTTGTAGCAGCAAGAAAATGACAACGACAGGTAAGTAATGATTGCAATCGTTTTCATCATTCTCTCGTTGCCATTACCAGTGATTGTTCACTGAGGTAGAATTCTCCATGGAGATGAATGTATTTGTTTGAATTGTTATTTTACAGCATCGGAATGGATGGAATTCTTCATTGCAGCTGGAATCCCTTCTAGTCCTGCTTCAAAGTAAGAATTAGCGTCTTGTCTTCAAAAATCAATCGCTGATGGCACACTCGATGGTAGTAAGCCATTGCAGTGAATCATAGACAAGTGCTATTTATCCTCTTAGAGTGTCCATAGTAGCAACAAGTAATGCTTGCTCCTATAACTTGAACTGGATGGAAATGGACTAGCCAAGAATGACCATCATCAGTCTGACTTGCTTTACTGCATGATAGGATGGAAAGAGAACTTGATTCGTAGGATAAATCAATGGAATCTTGTTGAAACTAGAAAGTCTATACTGTACATTTTCCACATCGATCGTATCATCACTATGTCTCCAAATTCCTTCAATGAGAATGGCTCTGTACACGCTACGTGTAAATATTATCATGAATCGTTTACGATCATTTAGAAAGCCATGACAATAATCTGAGTTACTCCCCTTCTTGCCATCCATTTTCGATCGACGTCGACTCCATCTTGATTGCTTGGCTCAATTTTGAAATACTGTAACCTACAGTAATCATTTCTTACAGTAGATACAACTCTTAATGATATCCTTTGTTACCATTGCAATCAATCGACTTTATAACATAGCCAACCATTTTTACTCTACACTATCATGGTGGAGGAATACATCGGACTCCTTCAACTTCAAACATGAACCTATACGTCATGGAATAGCATCATTTTCATGGTTAACCCATCGACTGTAGTATAAAAATAGGGTCAATCCATACCAGTTGAACTAATCTTCTGCTTATTCAAACTACTGTAATGGGTCGTGAAAAAACAATTTCTCATCAATACACGCTGATGCAAAACCTACTATACATCATTGCGTACATTATGATTATAATAAACACTCAATAGCAAAAGCTATTTATAGCTATACATCGTCCGATCAGTCATGGTTACTAGTATACTTTCAAATGATCCATGTTTTTTCTTTTTGTCAAGAATACTGTGGCTGATATGTTTGAATCACTTTTCTTTCTAGTTATGCCATATTATTCAGTGAGAACAGAATACATCGGAAAATGTTACCTGAATTAACAAAGGTATTTATCCAATCCCCAACAAGATGATGGTGCTCTCGTTTCCTTCTTCCTTTGTAATTGAGACAGTGCATATTCGTCTACATACGAGTATATATATATACACACCAAATAGCAGTGATAGTCAGCAACAGTATCGTAGCTTATAAATAACAAAAAAGAACAATCATTTGCCATTTTTGACTGAAAGTACTGTTATGTCTATTATGATCTTGTGTAGGATATACTCAAGGAAATGGGAATTACTCCAATTGGCGATATGTTAGCTATTTTAAAGCATGCCAAAGAAGTTCATGACAACGTAAATTATTAGCTTGAACTCAATAGTTTTAGGTGTTTTTATTTTCACTAGCACTACCCATAGCCATATTGATTACTTTATACCAATAAGCCTAATTATTGATTGTATAATCTAAGAAATATGATCAATCATGAAGTTGATACAATAACAAAGTCAACGTAATCTTTGCATTGCCTACAACATTGCCTCCCATAAAACAAACTCTCTGAAACTTGATTTCACATTTTATCAGGAGATTATGAGAGGATTAGTATCGGATAACCCTAGATCAATTGATGGACCATGTAAGAAGAAAATCGCCATAAGCAAAGTCTTGAGCTAATATGAGTCTATTTAACGAATGTTTCTTTTATTTAGCAGCTAAGATGAGAATAGGGCCCACCAATATAAATGAAGTGAAAAAATCTCAAGAAGACACAGTGACTACGAGCTCGCAGAAAAGCCGGGCCATGATTGCACCAACAGTTGCTCCAACATTAAAAATGGTGCAGTCTGCTACTGAGCAATCAGTAAAAGACGTTCGCAAGGCAACTGCACCAACTGCCACTAAACCAAGTAATACAAGGATAAGAATAAGAAGGATAGCCTTGAATTCACAAAATGGTGATTAAATGTAGTCATAGACTATTGCATCTACTCGTTGAAGACAATACTTTAACCTGTTCAGAATCCATGAAATTAGTCATTAACAAGTATGATCAACATCATGTTATTTTAGGTAGCCACTCTGGAAAACAGTCTGTATTTGATCGATTAGGCGCTTCACAAAGTGAACAAATTGCTAAGGTGGCATCTCATCCTGTTAGGGAAACCCATTCAGTTTTTAAACGTTTAGGGGGTATTCAGCATGATAACAGTACCTCTGCCAAGGATAGACTTCAACCAAGCGTTAAAATTAATAGAAAAGGTTTATCCACTGTTGATATAAGACAAGTTAAATTAGGCTCCATGAAACGACCAACCGAAGCGAAAAAACCCAGGGCTAGCATGACAAAAGCTGAAAAAGTTGCTTTAGCACGAAGTGACCAACTTGGCAATCAAGAAAGCGCTCTGAGTAGATTAGGAGGAAGTAATCCAGCGGCTACTACAGCTAGAAGACTTATTATACGAAAGAGATGAAGTATACAGTGTTGTAGCTGTTGGCACAACTCGAATCTACAATCAAATTATTTAATTCATTAATGACACCTCATTCTGTATAATAAAGCGACAGTAAAAGTTCTTCTGTATTATTGGACTATAATGGTACCCTTTTTTTTTAGTTTTATAACATTTCAAGCTTAGCTTTACTGGATATCCAATCTCGAACGTTATTCCTCTTGCGTAATTCCAATTCAACGATCAGAGAATATTATCTAGTAAATTTACTATCATTTGTTTGACTTTCTCATCTTATGGACTGCACAATTCTATAATAGTCATATTAGTAAATTGATGTGTTGTTGTGATAGGAAGCATCGACAGTATCATTCAATCTTGGAACTATTATTTGTTTGCTTTAGTGACTATGTAGTAAGTTCGTATGGCATTTTTTTTATCAACTGTTTAGTCTGTTTATTAATTAATATCCATTGGTAACTCAATTTAAATGATACATCAAAGTGTTTATAAAAGAAGCAAACGCATTACATACAGTCAATTTAAAAAGTAACCATCTGATCGAACTACTGTAGCATTTTGTCAGCGATATTTTCAAGGAAACCAAACATACTTTGGTGTATCCGATTGTAATAAACCATGATCTTATTGTCAATGGATTACAGCAATTTCCACATTATTGACTTTAAATGGAGCTATAAGAATTTCAAAGTCTTAAAATACAATTGCACGATTAACTATTCAGGTATAGTCTATACTAGTATAGCATGATATCAATCGTTATAGCTTTGGTAAATTAATAGACTCTTCTCTAATCCTTTAAACTATACTTGTAATGAGTGTCATTGAATTCGTCCCAAATGAAAGTAACGTTGGACGCTGTTTTCAATGATTAGTATCTGCATCGACTTTTAAATTGTTATTGGCTAGAGCAAGAATATCCAAGTTTGCATATGTAACAGCAGCATTAGATTATGTCCATTCCTTTCATAGCTAAAGCATAGTATATTTCTTCTGTCAACATGCACATGGACGTATAAGGAAAGTGTTGCAGTCATGGATGACATTCTAATAGTACAATAATAAATAGGACTTGAAATCCGCTTAATCTGTAGGCTTCTATCCTTTCTTTGGTTTAGCTAACCAGATTGGTTCTTCCGATTCTGCGGCTCTTTTAAGAGCTTTCAATATTTCAGTTTGACGCTGCTGTTGGGCTTTCATGATAGCAGGATTACTTTCAGGCAACTCCTGAGAATGAAGTGGACAAATGAAAAAATAGCCTTGTGAGTTATTTTTCCTCTACCAAAGGTAGATCAATATCAGATTATGGTAAGATTGGTGTAAAATTGATTACTCTCCATGGTTCATAAATACAGTAATGGATGTCAAGGCGGTGATCATTACTATTGCATACAATCACTGTCATTTGCCGTGCAACTTGAATCATGATCAAATGGATACTACCAATACTAAAACTAGACGGGAAAGATTCAAAGTGTAAACAGACTATGTATGCACTGAATATTATTATTCCTTTCCTTCTATTATCTATTTTCAAGGTATTACGGTACTTGGACAAATTCAGTATATCTTGCAAGGTAGAAGTTAGCTTTGCTATCAGTGGGACAAGAAAGTAGAATGTACATCGTCTCCATATCTACATTAACAGAGACTATCGCATTAACTTTACTGTATCCTGTAGAAGATTAAGAGTAGTACTCTATCGTTAATTGAAACTATAAGACCACTTTTTAAACTTTATCTTGAATAGACATCTATGATGAATGCGTATACTATACACTTTTACATATAACTTAATCATCCTTGCGCTGACACTTTTGCGTTGCATCGAGCGATGAAAGAGATGCTTATACTGTCAGTGCGTTGCAAAGTTGAAAGAGGCATAGGACAACTTTCACCTCGTTTATAATACTATTCGTTCCATTATGCACTAAACTATCTCATTATAGACTGGTATATTGGATAGGCTAGCAGTCTATCACGTCGATTGTATACAATAAATATGGAAAATGAGCACCAGAGTGAAGAATTTTACATTAGCCATCAACTACCTTGAGCAGCTCCTGTTCATTCGGTTTAGTCACTCTCATCAAACCCCATCCAGCAAGGACGGTTAAGGTTGTTATTCCTATCGTCATACCAATCTTAGCAATGGTACTCATCTTCTAATACTTTCTAGCTTGAATTCAGTCGCAATTAATTGAAATACAGCCGTTCAATTCGATCTTACTCCTCGATTTGCAAAGATTTTGATGATTTTGTCCGCTTGCAATGTCCAATTTCTCTCTGTCGATTGGATGCTTGTTGTTAATGCGTTCAATCTAATACGGCTGCCATACAAAAGCGTTGTTACCTACCTACTGTATGTGTATCACTCTCGATCTCACTATGGATTTTATTACTCTAGCTGTTTTGAACTGTCTCGCCCAAGTAGGGTCTCGTTAGCCACTCGACTATGGTAGTATACTGTATTAAACAGTCCAAAACGAAAGTATATTACTATGGCTTCGCTACGATATCGAACGAGTCAGCTTTTGCAATTGATTGAATACTATTCCTCCTATTTCTCTCTCCAAATGCCATCAGGAAATTCATGCAGTTCCTCTATTGCTCTTATTTATAGCTTGATAGTCGATAATCGATCAGTATCATGATAACAGAGGATGGATTCTCATGTAGAAATCAAGGTTCCGGCAATTGTACCAACACGAGTAGTTACTAATGGCAAAATGATGAAGGGTAAGATGGTGTCGTCAACTTTGTCCACGGACAAGTTAGGTTAAGATGGACGATTGCTGTGTCCCTTTTTAATCGATAGTAGGACAGTGTACTTGGTAGAATAATTCATCACAACTGCCTGATAATGCGTAGAAACTACATCAATCTGAAGATGGATGCTGAAGATGGATGTAGTAGTAGTACAGCAGCTTCAATTCTAAAGTTTACGCTAACGATAATGGACGTGACACAGAGATGGAATATCCTTGAATATCCTTCAGTGCCTATTCAAAATACAGTCAACGTCTAATCTACTCTACACTATAAGCAGTAGTCTATTGACTTGAACTACTCTATTCCATGATAGGCGATGTCCTTCTACTGAGATCTTAACCAATATATGACTTCTTTAGGGATTCTTTCATCTTGTAAAGTTGATATTTCTTAGCTAAGAGTGGTGCCTATTCAAAATACAGTCAACGTCTAATCTACCCTACACTATAAGCAGTAGTCTATTGACTTGAACTACTCTATTCCATGATAGGAATGTCCTTCTACTGAGATCTTAACCAATATATGACTTCTTTAGGGATTCTTTCATCTTGTAAAGTTGATATTTCTTAGCTAAGAGTGGTGCCTATTCAAAATACAGTCAACGTCTAATCTACTCTACAATATAAGCAGTAGTCTATTGACTTGAACTACTCTATTCCATGATAGGCGATGTCCATCCGCTGAGATCTCCACTAATGTATGACTTCTTCAGGGATTCTTTCATCTTGTAAAGTTGATATTTTCTTAGCTATAAGTGGTGCCTATTCAAAATACAGTCAACGTCTAATCTACTCTACAATATAAGCAGTAGTCTATTGACTTGAACTACTCTATTCCATGATAGGCGATGTCCATCCGCTAAGATCTCCACTAATGTATGACTTCTTCAGGGATTCTTTTATCTTGTAAAGTTGATATTTCTTAGTTATAAATGAAAAGACAATCAATAGACGATAGACAGAGTCTAGATGCTTATACGATAGACCATAGACATAGTCCGGTGGTGGATTATGCCCTTCTCCTAGGCTGACAGTATCGAGAAACACTTTATGGATTCTTCAATTTGGGCTAATATTACCACATTACAGTTTATTCAATCAATCAATTGATAAAAGTACTGTATAGATAGCATAATTCTTTACTTGAATTGTCATTAATCAAGCAATCTGTAGCCATTCATTCACCCAGATTATTTCGGTTATTAAATACTGTACTGTAGACATCTTCCATTTTGTTACTATTTCTTGCTTGTACGACTATGCATTTCAATGTAGGATCAGTATTTTTATTTTTAAAGACTACTAGAATCGCTAGTACAGTATAACAGACGCATCGAGCAATACTAATTCTTGTTAAACTACCAATAATTTATAATCAGTCGTCTACATCGCTAAAACGAGTAAACTCTACATTCTGTTGGGATCTATATAGATGTCCTATACATGTCCAACTTTTCATATTTGATCCAGTCAATCAACTGTTTAAACTGGTGCTCACGTATGAATAGACAATTTACACTGCATGCAATCCTATAAATGCTCCGATTAATAAACTCCATAGGAATCTTAACATCGCTAATATTTCATGTTTTTACTCTGCAATCCACTGTTTAAACTAACAAATACAAGACGCGTCGAAGAGAATTATAGAAGTAGTAGTTTTACGATCACTAATCCACTGTCTGACTAGATCGTCAAAGTTAATAAACTCTACTCGTAGAAGTGTCTCTATCATTTCGTGTTCTACTCAACAGTAAACTATTTAGACTAATGATACAAACAATTTACCGTTCTGAATAGCACAGGCATACGATTCACTGTGGGTATAAGCAGGAACTTTTAACTATCACCAATTAACTGTCTAACTAGATCGCCAAAGTTAATCAACTCTATAGGGATTTTACCATCTCTAACATTTATGTTTTACCAAATAATGAACTATTTAAAATAACCATGTTAACAGCATACACAGATAGACGTATATACCATTCGATAGATGCATATAAATACGTGCATACGTATATGTAACAACAGATGCTGTATCGATATCTGTCTTAACTCGTTATTTATTGATCATCTTCTACGCGAATCGATCTCCAAAGTTCATCAATTTTATACAAATCTTATAATTTTAGCTATTGCAGATTTTACCTAATTAATTAACTGTTTAAACTAATACAATACGTGTGTATTGCCTCTACTGTATACATCTGCATCAGGTACTATTTGTCTATCTTTGTTTTAGCTATCAGTAAGTTATTATCGGTAGTTAGTTGACTAGATTGCCAAATTAGAACATTGTTCAAAAGTAATCCACTTTACTGATGCAGGAATTAAATAAGACTCAAGCCAACTCTACGCTGCTGATTTTACACCTTACTTAGATACGCGTATAAGCATATATGTACACCTTGTGGGTAAACTAAAACATGACTGATCATGTTACTATGTATTTAAGATTTTAGAAAATGCGCAATCAGTTTCACTCTACTCCTTCTAAATATTATGCATAGAGTAGCTGTATAGCCATATCGTCAATATTATATATCCCCTTGAACTTGCTAGAAACTATAATGGCAAAACTGTAATAGCACTTCACTTATGATTCAATCCATATAATGACGATAACAATTTCTGCAGTGTCTCTATTCTGCTAAGAATACAGTTCGTTCATTATTCATGCTTTATTTATCACCTAACTTCTATTCGCTGATTAGAAACGATGAATGCTACCACTGAAACTGAAATACGAGAATTAGATGTCAATGTAAGTTCAATCTTGTAGCCTTATTTCACACACGATGTTTGTGCCATTGAAGATAATGACTTTACTTGTGTACCACAGTAGGCGATAATACTGCATATAATCATGACGCCGCTTTATCCAATTTTACAAAAATCTTTCATGTTCAAAACGCAATCTTAACTTAATCACGTATTTATAGGGAGAATACACTAATACATTATCACGCGAGCTCTCAACGAAATGGTCATTAACGAAAGAAATTGGATTAATTTACAGTACTAAAGGGGTTCGAATATACTTATGTATACTATGGATACAAAATTTTCTCTTTTATTTTGTTTAATTTACGTGTACTGAATCAGTTATTTGTATAAAAATCATGTAAATAAGACTTTCCACCATTGATCTGATACCCTTGTCAAAGTCTAATTAATCCAATCGACGTCCTCGATTTTCAGGCTTGGACTGTAACTACGATGCTACTCATAAATGTATTATATACAATTTGGCTTCAACACCAATCGGTACATACAAACTACTTAGGTATGCTTATAAATACAAAGCATCAATATATTTTATGACAAAACTTTTAAGATAAATGAACGGCCTTCCTAATTTAACCAATTCTTCTATCATAACATTTAGCTTTAACAGCATTTGCCTATTTATCAATATTGAACTCCTTTAGGTATTATACGCCTTGGTTGAATAATTATCTATAGTAAAATTTTTATATAATTGCTAATCTCTTTACTGTTAACAATTCTATTTTGATTTACAGCTTAGTATCATGTCTAATCTCTTACTGGGTTTCGCATCAAAAGTGTACAGCCCTTTATTCATTTGGGTAATGTATAATTCTTTCCTTTTTATAACCAATTATACCAAACTACATTAAAGGTTTAGATCTCAATTAATTTCTTGATACTTTATACAAGATATATGCTTACTGTATCAATTCCTTAGTAACTTATGTAATAAAAATCTTTTTTATGTTATGGTAAATATAGCTTTGAACGAGTGGAAGTCCTAGCTGTCTTCACTAGTACAGTCTTAGTCCAAGTTGCCGTGATATCTGTACTAAGATACTGGTAAATATCTCAATTTACAACTCAATCTTTTGTACTAAATTAATGGTATTTATTTCAAACAAAATATAACAAAATTAATGATTTAACCAATTCTGTATTTACTCAGCTTGGAGAGAATATTTCAGTCACCGAATGTCGTAACGTAAGTAAAATTATCGTATCTGAGTAGCTTATTCATCAAGAAATAAGTGAGTTGAACAGCGATTATATTGTAGATGACATCTTATTTGTAAATCTATTGCCTTTCTAAAAGATAAATTTGCAACTCTCTATATATCTCAGATCAACAGTAAGCATGACCATCGTCGCAACCTTTGGCCTTATCCTTCATCTTTTAATTACGTTCTGTATCAGTAACAGAGCATTTAATCACGTATCATCAGGTCGTCTATTTATATCACTAGCCATATTAATTAACGTAAAACAATAAGTGAAAACTATTTAAAATAGGCCTTATCGAAATAACTTAAAATTTTTGTCAATTCTTCTGCAGTATCCGATTCAAATTGGCTTCAAAATTTCTTATCAACCACCATCCAAAGGTTTAAATTAACACCATACAGTATTGTTAAATATATATATAAGCTTTCAAGAGTAATTTCATATACCAAGCGCATAATACGATTGTTTAATGAAGCACCCAGCGTAGGATAGCATGTCAGACGAATGTAACTTACAAGTACATCATGTCATATTGACTTACTGTAGTACTCATTAAAGTTTAATGTACTTACATATTTGTTTTTAGTGTCTTTTCACTTGCCCCAAGTTCGACGCGAGCCTTTGTAAAAAGAATAAATCCGTTCGCCTTAGTTACTATTACCGGCTGGATTGCTATGTGTATAGCTGATATACTAATTAGTATTAAGTACGTTTTAATACCTATTTATTGAATATTGATGCTCAAGCAAACTGAATTATAACGTGTTTAATATATTTTAGCCACTGGTATCAAGCCGATACTGTTGCTGCCCTAATAATATGTATCCTAACTTGGGCTACGCTATATCCAATGTCAATATACAGTGGAAAGATCCTTCTGCAAGTAATACTTAAAAACTGAAAGATATTTGTCTAACTTCCAAGAAATGATACCACTAACGATATCTGCTATTATCAATTGCTATAGACTAATCCTGCGCAAATTTTGCCTCAAATCGATAAATGCTTAAGAGAGGTATTATAAAATTTTTATTACAATTCGATTATTTTGAAAGCATTCTTGTAAGCAAGAAATGATATGCGTTATTATGAGTGTTTAATTTATTTTGATACGTAATCTCTCTAATTATATCGCGGCCCTTGCCAATAGATTTCAACACTTGACGGAGTCCTTGAAATAAAAGAAGATCATTTTTGGATGATCAGCTTCGGAAATCTTGTGAGTTAAATGCTATTCGTTACTATTAGACAGTAACATATCTACTGTATATTGACTATATCATATTCATGACATCATAGGTAATTGTACCTTCTAATATGCATATAAGCAATTGATTTTTATGTTAGCGTAGTCAAAAAATAGCTAAATGATATATATTGCTTAGGCGGGATCCGTACAAGTCCGTGTTAGAAGAGATGCTGATGATCAGGTACATACGTAAATATGTCGTTGCAATATTGTTCCTTTACTAATGAAGTACAGTAATTCATCAATAACCTTATTGACTTTATTACAGATTGTCTTACTACAAGTCACTGAAAGATTATCTAGATACGTATCTAATCTCACTGTTCAAATAATTAAAGACGACTGGCAACGAACTGTATCAAATCCTACGATTTTAAGATCTATGAATTATGGTGATAAGAACATGTTAGAAAATTACAATTTCTCCTCATTCTCTAATGACACCGTGTACTACACACCTACTAAAGATAGAAGCAATATGATATCTGCTTCTACTCCGTTGATTTTTGAGCAACGTGGCCATTAAAAATTTAAATACTTTAGAAATTCGATAATCTATATTTCTTATGACAGTAAATACGTTTAATATTATAAGTCCAACTGGAGGTCGTTATTTAATGTCGAAGCTTTTCGATGGTGACAATCTACAGGTGTTAAATTTCTACAAAAATAAATGAATATGTATATCTTGTTTACTCCTAATATTGTGCATAATTTAACACATTCCAAAATGTTATAAAATCTTATGATCTCCAATCTAATAAAAAATGCTATTAGTTGTTTTGATGACACGATAATTTTATGGGAATATTATTTATTCAATAATGTCAACAGATTAATGTATATTATCTAGATTGTTATGTTATTTTGGTGTTACTGAAAGATAGATATACAGCCCTAGTTGGTGGCTTAAGAACTCTTCACCGAACTATTGCGTGATAAGAGCAACAATTTATTTAATTACCAATCGTGAACAGATATATTGGTAAAGATTAGTTAAACAATTAAATTAAATCACGTTAAGTTTAACCTTCATTCAGAATTGTGGTATTTCAGATAAGATAGAGTTCATAAGTAGACCCATCATTGTAAATATTTTAGCAATTCTTAACAATTTCCGTTTTACTAAGTAATGAATTGCTTAGGACTTTAATAACAACGTTCATCCTATAACTATCACATGTAGTTTCGTAAGCAGCATAATATAATTAGCTTGTTTATCATCACTTCGAGTACCAAGAATAACTTCAATGTGTATGGATAATAAATTACTACTTCACACCATGTACCCGTAAATAGAAAATTTTATGTTACAACTATGGAAAGAACATTAACATTGCAACTTTATTCCCTAAATTTATCGCGGTAACAGCATCATTTAAAACTAGGCGTCACAAGTTAAGCCAGTATTATTACGAACTTTTAGCTAGCTGGTACTGCTATAATAAGAATTTGCAGTTATTTAATCATCCGTGATGAAATTAGTTTCAGTTCTTCCTTCACTACTATGCTTACAAATTTTCACCGCCTTAGTAATAGCAAATACTAACAGAACAAGTAAGCTTTCAGATTTAATTCACTAAGAAGCATCCTTTCGAAACATAAAATTATAACTAAATATTACTAATAATGATTCGTTTTTATTTTCAAATCAGGAATTGCGAAAAGCTTAAACTATAATAATCAAGGTAACTTTAACATCATAATAGAATGATATTTAGAGAAATGCATTCCAAATCGAATATCAACAAGCAACATAAACTCAATATTTGAAAATCTAGCTGAACTTGTAAATGAATCACATACAATCAATTTATTTTTCTATTAATACCTTGATTGAAATGTTTACTCTTCATAGGCTTTCAAGAAAAGTCAGATAATCAATGTGACTGCTCAAGCAATGGTCGATGTGTTAATAACAGATGCCGCTGTAATTCTGGTTATATTGGTTCGCAATGTGAAACTCGTTGTTCACCGGGATTCTTTGGATTAAACTGTTTGCAAAAATGCAATTGCCTTAATGATGCTGATTGTGATGCAAATGATGGAACTTGCGCCTGTAGAAAAGGATTCACTGGACGGGACTGTTCTCGTATTTGCCCAATAAGAACCTTCGGCGACGATTGCAAAGAGAGTTGCAAATGTGAAAATGGAGCCTCGTGTAATGTTGTTACAGGAGAATGCGATTGTACATCACTTATGGGCTTTACTGGCAGCACATGTGCAGAAGGTGCTTCATTCAGTAAAAGAGTATAATTCTTACTTGAATGTGAAGCTAATTTCAATATTTTATGCTAAATTACTAAGGTTAATAGTCATCTCGACCGGTGGCTAAGCAATATTTTTATTATAAGATTTTCATATCCAATTTTAGAATGTCCTGAAGGTTATTGGGGCCCTGACTGTATGTATAAATGTCCGCGATGTAAGAATAACGGCAAATGCAATAGGAAAACGGGTTTATGCGATTGTGGACCTGGCTACTTTGGCGTCTTATGTCAAGAGAGTAAGCTTATGCATTGAGAATTTACCGTTTAAAAGTAACAGGACTTCACTATTAATTAATTTTAAGCTTGCTATTTCATTAACAAATACAATCTCTGAAGCTTATTTGAGATTACTGTGCCATTTCTTTGCTATACTATAGCAAACCATCAGTTTAATGCCTTAGCCATAAGTTCGATTATGAACCTCAAATCTTACATAAAAATTAGGGTATCGTTTTCTCCACGTTATCAATTTAATGATAGAAATGATACGCATATTCATGTACTGTAATCTATTAATACTCTTCCCTGATTAATATATATTTTACCACCATTACTAATTATGAAGCCGAGTTAGTAGTATAATATTTCTATATTACCATTATATATCTTATGCAATCCGTAATTTTTATTACTATTATCGAATTAAGATTATCAACCGTTAAAAATGTTAGAATATCCCGCGATATATATCTTACTTAAAGAACGCTTCTTATCATTAGTGATGTCTTTTCTATATTACTAACTTTCATTACTCAGTTCAACTGACAAAATAAGAAATGAGTTATACTACTCTAGCATATTTATTACATCACTAAATTAAAATTAATACATTTCTTTTCGATATTATTAGTTTTTGCTGCTTAAAGCTGACAAAATGATACCTGTAACGGCATAATGATCATAATATACTGCATTTACGCCTTATATTTACGCTTATTTTTTATGATACTAATTTCTATTATTTATCAAATTAACCTGATAAAATAATTCTTAAATCGATACGTTATTATAATATAATATGAATCCATATTATCGTGTGTACCTTCCAGATTATCAATTTTTATCACTAAAACAAGTAGATAAAATCAAGTTGTATTAAGGCGATTAAAGAAGTTAATTTATAGTCTATATTAGTAGATATTCTCTTGTATTATTAATTCCACTATTAAAGGAAGCTAGTGAAATAGTATTTAAATCATATAATATCTTCTAGCTTACAATAGCTTGCATCCTTTTCGTATTACTTGTTTCTCCTACCTGAATTTAGTAAGTTTAAAACTTACTAAATGGTACCTACATCAGTAAGATTATATTAATAGTCTATTCTATCTTCAGTATGTCCTAGAGATAAATATGGCAAAAGTTGCAGTCAAAGTTGTAACTGCAATACAGATGTCAATGGACAGAGAGCAACTTGCGATCCAGTCAATGGTGAATGCTATTGCCCACCAGGAACAGAAGGCCGTGATTGCACTAGGTGTAAGTTGCTAAATAATGTTAATAGAAATTATTTGTTCTTTGTAATCCATTATAACCCTATAATTAAAACTGTTGGATTGCCAGCGACTTAGACAGTTACAGTATATTTTACATTATTATTTTGTTTTAACTTCTTTCCTTAACAAATAAAATTAAATCTTAAAATTTGATATCAATGTATCGATATCTATAATACACGCTGTAGTCGATTTGGGTCTTAAAAAAGATAGTTTAAAATGAGGTTCGCTTGTCTGGTATTTTTTGATTTATATTATCGCAGCGATAGCCTCTTAATTTTTTAATAGAAATATTATTGACATAATACAAAGACATATTAAGATATTTTAAATGGAAACTAGGTCAAAAAGGGATCAGACTAATAGCTATTTTTGTAAAATTATTATATCATCAACTGTGAAAGAAGTTTCTTGTCTTAACAAGATTTACTATATTGATTTTACTAGCTTGCGAAATTAACAAATTCGGCGAAGAATGCTCTTCGACATGTCGATGCGATGTAGCTAAAGGAGATTTTTGTGATCGAGCGACAGGGGAATGTCGATGTAGGGCAGGATTTACTGGTTCTGACTGTAAAACTAGTGAGTAGAGGCGAAGATAGAATATAGCCATAAAATCTAGTTATTTTATTGATTTTAACGTCATTGCTTGATATCTTTCATTCATCGATTTATTCTTATTTGATTAAATTTTATGACTATTACGACATTAACTCAAAATTTAAAAATCTTTTTGGGTATTATGCGGAGAGAAAAAGTATTAAATAATCAATCAATATGCATATTATTATTACATTGCATATCAAAGGATGCTCTGCGAATGCATTCGGACCAGATTGCCAATTTAAATGCACTTGTGTTCATGGAAGTTGTGATTCTCAAACTGGCTCATGCTACTGCCATGAAGGTTATACTGGACCTCGCTGTTCAGGTATTGCAGTTGAAATTGATAGCTTTATCCCAGATAAGATAATTCCTAAAATTCATCCTTCTAAGGCAATGCTATAAACGGTTAACTTTCACTTTTTTTATGTATCAGTTATTCTATTTCTTGAACTACATCATTTTGTGTGTTCCAATCTTATTAGTGAATATATTTGTAGTTGTATTTCATTTTAATGTGAATGTTAAAAAGATTCCTTTATCATCGATTATAAAATATCTGTAAGGGAATGGACAGCAGCTTCGAAAATTTTTATTTCATTTAGAAATTTTGTCTTACAAATTATTGCAATGTTTCCCAATTCGCTAATCTCGCTAGAGTAAATTTATATAGCCAATAAGGAGCATAAATAGCAAAACTGAACTTATTGCTCTATTGTAGTTAACTTGATGACTATTTTTTCTTGTTTTCAGAACGCAAACCGACTGAGTTAAAATTTAATCGCAATAAATTAATTGATAATAAAGGAAATAAATTACTTGTTTCATATCCTGTAGTCTACGTCAGACCAAACCCTAAAGTCTTTCAGAATCGAAAGCAAAAAATTATATTAATTAACAACAACAAGCGTCCATCCTTTGGTCGTAAAATTATTAGGAAAATTCCTCGAAGACATCGCTTTAAAGTATTGAAACGTAGAAAGTATTACTAAATGAAACTGTGTTGTAGAGATTAATAAAATGTGAAATAGTAGATCGTATTAATGATCATGTAGAATCAATATTAAAAAATGGTTATATTACTTAAGTGAGATTTATTTCGTCATTTTGGCTTCGGTTTACATCAATACTTAAATTTTGGCATTAATTACCATCCAAAAAGTATTTCAGATATAGTAGGCTATTTTATCAATATTCATATATCTTGAAATTGTTATATCAAGCTCAACATGACTCTACTATATTGCCAATAAAGTGATGATTCCTTTACCCATGAACAAACACCAATCATACCCTATTGTTTCGGTTAACTGTCTTCTATGATTGAATAAATCTGTCTCTTTTATCGGTATTTTTCTATCATTTTCACGATCATTATGACTACTTGTATTACATCGCTGGAATAGATTACCTTCACTTGAAAATAGAGCATAGCAGGCAAGTTTCGATATATTTTACATTTCGCTTAGACTGAATGACAGCAGAAAAGCTTCAAATTGAGAATGTTCTAATAGAATTCTGACCATTGCACATTCAATACTTGTATAATTTTTACCCGTAATTCTGTTTCAGAGTTTCCTATGATATCTAAGTTAGAGCACGCGTATATTTGTGAATTTTAGTTGTATTTTTACATTTATACACTATATCGAGGATTACGTTATAACACTGTATACTGTACTTTATGTACAAGTTGCAAGCCTTTTACAGCGCAGATATATTGTCGTATAATTATGCTGGTAAGGCAATTACTCTATCCTTTGTTAAGGTAAAATTTAGCTACTTTCATTTTACTCTTCTAGAGTGATTTAAAGCCTTTAATACTTACTATCTATATAAGCATTGAAATGACCATCTATCCTCAAAATAGATTCGAATTTTATTAGCCGATAGACTATAACACCTTCATTGTTCATGTAATCTTATTACATAATTATTTTACTTTTTCATATTTTTAAGTATATTACGTGCAAATACACTTAGTTCAGTAAGCTGATTTAATGAGGCAATATAAACATTAAAGATTAAGCTGAATTATCTTATCGTATTAGTTCAGCGTAGAATTATAATAGGAAGAATAGAAGACCAGAAGCCACGTTATCAGATTAAGCATACAAGCTGTAGCTATTAAAATCTTACAATAATTTTGCGAAAAGGTATTTCAAAGGTTTAAACGATATCACTGAATAAAAATATTACTAGTCACCAGTCTCATATGACCAAGCATCCCTGTCTAGTTTTCGTACGAACTGATGTCCAGTTAGATCGCATGATTTATAAAATACTGCAATAAATAATCGCCGTTAGAATGCAGTTATTCGATTCTATAATATCATTGATTTACTTTAATTTATATGCGCTGTATACTGAGTGTATAGTAACTTTCTTAAGTTTAAGTAGTGCATCAGTTGATCACTTATTGGCGAGGTTACAATATTTCTAGTTGAACACTAAGTTTGATATGCATCTTAATTAATTAAGTACGTAAGTTGTAATCATTCATTTAACAATATGGATCGAAGCTGAAGAGTTTCATTAATTATAATCGAGTAGAGTATCATTCTCACCTTCTAATACGGATGGATAATTGTTACTCATCCAATGTCTGTATTCTAAAACGAATAATGGGGTTAGTACTGATTAAGGCAGTATACAGCATATAGCAGGATAATTTCTAGTGCAATAAAATTCATTATGACAACCGGAATCGATTCACATATACACGTATACTGCTATTTAATACTGATTTACGTTATGTAAAATCAGCCCATGCTCATGATTCATAACGCAGATAGGCCATGATTTATGTACGAGTATATGTTATACATAGCATACAGATCAATAGGTAATAGTTACGCGATTGAAATTTCAAGCCTATGCACAGGCCACAGCATTGGATATTTAATATTATTTCGATCAAGTCCATAGTCACTGCATTTAAATTTAACACATCCAATAAAATTATGTCGTAATGGACTGAGTATGTGATAGAAATGGACAACTGTGTTCTGTCTATGAGCCATACTCTCTATCACAGAATTTACATAGGTCTACAATCAATGCATTTACTGTGCATTTCAACATAGTCGAAGTCATAATCATCTTGTAATAGATTGGATATAGAAATTAGAATGACTGTACTCCATCTATTCTAGAGAGAGAGACCGTAATGGGCGTAAGCCCATCGAAAAGCGCCGTAGATACCTGCATCAGTGCTGACAAGCCATTGAAATTTTTAAGCTCCATCAGGTCTACTATCAATGTACTGTATTTTACTGTTTAATTCAGCATTCGAAGTCATCATCATTTGGTAATTTAATAGATTGGATATAGAAATAGAACGACTGTATTTTGTTTATGATATGAAGGAGATCTGACTATTACAACATCATCTGCTTGAGGTCTAGCTAGGTAGGCGATGGATTTACCTTGACTGACATTCATATTATGCCAGAAATAATAGCTTGCAGCCACAGCAGATATCTCTACTGCTAGTAGAGAACGCCATATAATTTTACGCATTAAGATAAAGAAGTTGATGATAGAAAATTTGAAGAATGCAAAAGAAAAGAAGGAAGGACAATAAGGCCAAACTCTGCTTTCTTCTCAGTTGGTAAAGAGGCAGGAAAAGCCAGTCAAGAAGATCGATTAATTTCCAAATCCTTGCAAAGTCGGCTGACTAAAGGCAGATGCAGCAGAGTCGAGACTCGACGTGACTGACCGACTGACCGACTATGCCTGGAACCTCAAATTGTGACACCCGGACAGACAGATGTAGTTCGTTCATCAATTCTTCCAAGAAGGAATTACTATTCCATACTAAGTAGAGTAAGTTTTTCCTTACTTTTGGCCTCATTGAGTCGAAAATTATCTGCCTGTCCGAAGGGTTTACAGTCTAGGTTTAGAATGATATTTTTGGTCATGTCCCTCTCTCTTTCCTTTCTAATTTTAGCTCATTTTATAGGGTTTTAGTATTGACTCAGCCGTCCGGAAGGAAAGGAGTTTCCGCTCATACTGTACACTGTACTGTACGCTAGTGTACAGTACAGTAACTTACCGTTAGTAATCACACATCACTGATGAGTCATCAGTTTAGTGCGTTGTACGGACGGGGACTTCGTGATATTATTGTCGACAGACTGGCCAATGGCCTATTCTATACTGTACTATACAGTACAGTATAGTAAGGTACAAAAACGGTCGCGATAGCCGGAGCTTTTCCTCTTCCAACATCTTGTGCAATCATGGGGACCTCCGCTGCTGATGTAGCTGCTGCTTGTTATTCGCCTGATCAATCAACTCAAGGCTTTTTTTTCCAACAAACAATGTTGCGAATTAAAGATCCTAAAGCTTCCTTGAAATTTTATACGCAAGTTCTTGGAATGAGGTCAGGCTTGAACTTGACTGTAGTTGTGCTGGAAAAGTAAACAATCAAAGGGGAAAGAAGATATACAGCATATAAATGCTTCTAAACGCATACATTCGACTTAGTACTTACTCGTAGTGGTTCCCTGTAAGCTGTAGATAGTTAAACGATAAAGTAACTAATGACTAGCAGCTTTGATGGCACATACAGTAGTTAGTGTTGTTGATCGATAAAATTTTAGTGGATGTCGTGGGTTAAAATGATTCGCTATTCGTTAGTACTTCATCTTCCTTCTAATTACTGTTAATATCAAATCGTATTGATTAGGCCTGCGTTGTCAACAGTTTTAACAGTTTTATAACAACAATACAAGATTGCTTATTCCAAATAATACAGGTCGAGAGATTTCCGTTCGTACCTGCTGATATAGAATATAAATAGTAGTGACAAGAATAGAAAGCGGTGCGGATAGTTCTGTCTCCGACTACGAAACTGATTGATTGTGCGCGAACCACCGGATACCCGGCGGAAACGTATAGGAGGAAGGAATCCAGTTAGATTTCGTCATGGTTTGCCTCTACTCGTACGATATGCTAATGCAGGAGTAGTTCCGTCAACGTATGCAATAGAATTTGTCTTTGTACAAACATACCGGTATTGATGAGAAAAGGCAAAGAAAGAAGTCCATCCCTCAATTTTATTCCTCATCCGCTTTACTACTGCACACAATTTTTGAAGGATAGAAGATGACATTTATATTGATTTCAGTTCAAGTATTGACCCACTCATTGATTGTCTATAACTGAAGAATCCTAGTCTCATACTATAAACAGTACAAGCGCACCGTTTCATCCTATTAGCTACCTACTGTACTACTGCAATTAGCTGAGACCATTACAACTTGGTAGTAGAATCCTTATCTTAAATCTTATTCCAATCATCTAATTGGTATTTTGAATTGAATTGAACAGGTTATTAAAACGTTTCGATTTTGCTGGTATGAAGTTCAGTCTTTATTTTATGGGTTATGAGGATCCCAAAGACATACCTGAGGATGAAAACGAGTTAGCATCTTGGGTTTTCCAGCGTAAAGCTTGTTTAGAATTAACTCAGTAAGTTTCTTTCGTGTCACTATTAGCAAAAATGCTCTTTCTTTCCAGCAAATCCTCATTACAAGTTGTTGAGACAATTACGCATACTTCCTTTGCAATATAATGAAAGATTGATTAATATATAATATCTTTATCCATTATAATGTAAACTTTAGCAACTGGGGAAAAGAAGAAGCTGAGGGCAGTATCTACCATAATGGCAATTCTGATCCGAGAGGATTTGGTAATCAACAATTTAAAATCTAGTAGTATCCAGTTAACACATGCGAACGGAAATGTTGTTTGTACTGATATAATTTTAGCATGCTTTTAACATTTTATGGATGCTATATAACTCATTTGCAGGTCATATTGGCATCTATGTGCCTGATGTCTACAAAGCGTGTGAGCGATTTGAACAACTAGGCGTTGAATTTGTAAAAAAACCGGATGGAGGTAATGCTCACTACAATAATGTTGTAGACGAGTAAAAAAGTAGCATTTATATGAGTTATAGATTATTCTACCTAGTCATACTGCTGTATGCGATGTAGTAACATTTGCTTGCCAACGTCAAAATGGCCCGTTTGTAATATACAATTGTTAATCGTTATTGCGAAGACTAGATATTCATTAGATGAGCATATTATTATAATACTAGCTGAATTTGTTTTTAAAAGCTATTCTAGCATGGTAGCATTACTCATAGATCAAAGATAATTTATAGAAAATGGTTGATTGTAAACAATATCTTCATATATTTGCATGAAATGTCTCTCATTTACTCCCGTACTATAAAACTAGGTCAAATGAAGGGTTTGGCATTTATCAAAGACCCTGATGGATACTGGATTGAAATATTAAATGATAAAATTGGAAAGGCAATTTAGCTATGATTTGGTCCAGCAGAATCCGAACTTGTTAAACAAATTGGTTTTAAATTTTTAGTCAGTGTGTTTATTGGTACTTTATTACCATTTATGATATTATCAATTTGTAATAGCTAGATGAGAATGAATAAACTACTTATAATAATGCTTTTGCTGCACCGCGCTCTTTGTCTATAGTTTGATACTAGTGGTGGTAAAATTTCTCGTAATCGCTGCTTATGTCACATTACATTGTACATTATACAAAGTCTCGTGAAATCTTTAAATGAATCCACGACACCAATACGTATAACAAGTGATAGCAATGAATATTCTTCATGCTGCATCATAACTAAAGTATTTTAAATTAATTTCCGGCTTATATCTCGGGTATATAAACGAGATATATCATTATATACATATAAGTTTTAGGCTGCCATCCGGCAAATGATATAACGAATGGTGTCGCTATCAATTTATACCTTTGAATCTAATTTGTTACAATAGTGACCGAACGGCAGGATAGATTCGATGTAATTATAGGTAAACGCTTTATTTTATCATTTTAGGTTAAACATAAAAATACTAATTCTTTAAAATATACAGGGTAATCAAATATTTAATTTTTAAACAGATCATATATAGGATCTAATCCACAAATGATTGAGATGATTTCAAAGTATATAATAATAATAAAAAATAATGTCATTTCTGGGAAATTAACTTTAAGGCCATTGGGAATAATTTAAGTTAATATTTTCATAAATTCGGCCCTGTGTCAGGTTCAAATCAATATGATTAATGAATAATGGTGAACAGAAGCAAAGGCTTAGAATCATAGAATAAATATGAAAATAATACTAATACAAAATTGACAGTATCCATGATCTATAAGATAACTTTTATAAGCCTTCTCGTTAATTCTATAACTGGCCTTGCTTCAAGCCGTGGCAATCTTCAATCGTTAGCAAAGTAATTATATAGTAACTGACAATATGATTAAAACGAAATATACACGCCCGTCAATAATTTGCGTAAGAACATCAGGAATGCTATTCAGGAATTTCTTCATTGATTTGGAGTACAAACAGTAGACCGAGGCATCCACTTTTGTCCATCATAGACTACATCTTTGCTAGAATATCTAAACAATTTTCACAACAATAAATTTGCGCTTGATCTACGATTTTACTATATATAGTATCAGTTCTAACTTATATTGTAATCATACGACTATGTAATTCATAATTTTTTTACCATGATATATGTATTCTGTTAATAGCTGAGGTACTTGCTCATTGTTGTCGCATATGCCTTCCATAACTAAGTCATTGTGGGGTAAAGAAGAACTCATCACATTAACATACGTAGGTTCATTGTTGAGGAGATTAATTCGATTTTAAAAAACACAAACCCGAAAAATCAATCAAAGACATAGCAAGACAAAACGTCTTAACATACTAGCAAGAATCTTTAGTATTGATGAAAGAGGCAATATCTTTCCATCTTCTGGCTCACAATACGGGATGGTTAGAGTTAAAAACTGTAGGCGCATAGGTACAATACATGTGATTTATTAAAGGGGAATTTATTTTTTTTTCCATTTTAGAACAATAAATGATAAATCATTTTTAAAAATAATACTTTACCACATTAGATTTATCACTGGATGTCTTGGTCGATTTTTTCTTGCTATTTCGAGTAAATTCACGTCTATCTTCTAATTGTCTTAGCATAGCAATAAAACGTTGCCGTACCAATATTTGATTGGTGTATTCTTCACGTAACCTTAATTGGTCAATTAGTTCACTAGAGATTGCTTCATTATATTCGGTATATTCTTCCTTTATTTGAAGTAATTCATTCATTTGGCAATTGGATAGAGCTAAGGCTGAGAAAAATAAAAGCGCACAATATTAAAGAGTTGTAAAAGTTAAATGACTATTCAAGTATTCAGATTTTGCACATGAATATTAATATACATGTAGGACATGTAGTGTTTAATTAATGTGTCTTTTCCTTAATATCATACCCATATTCTTATCATCTCCCTGGAAAAAATCTAATAAGCTATAATCATCCTTCGTGGATTCATCAGCAGAAATAGATTCGGTCGAGTCATCTTCATCATGTCTACCATCGTCCTCAGATATCATTAGATGATACATACCAAAGATATCGCAGGTGTAATTTTTTATCGGACTTGAATTTGACCTAGTTGCTTTTAATATCTTTCCAATAAAGACAACAACACGTTCATTATCGAGTGTATATTCATAGAATAAGAAACTGTGAATCAGTAGATATTATCATTTTCTTTCGCACTACTTTACATCGTCGCTATTTAAATACTATGAGAAATTCCACCCCGAAAATTTTATATATATTTTGATTATGGTTTAGACACCTATGCAATGCTAGAACCGAGTAATAACTAATTGCATGATCTAATTTATAATCATCTATTGCGTAAGTTGCGAATTTTTAATTTACAGCCGATCCAGCGCAGAGTGTACTGTATGTTGCTTTAATTTCTGAAGCAGTGCTAAATAGTATTATAAGATCATTAAGCATCCTTGATATCGAGTAAAAAGCTATAAGAGCAAATATATGAGTATGAGTATGATTTACAGTATGTCTATAGTTTATCATTCTTTATTTCTGGATTGTAGAGATTTCCATAGCTACAGTAATTTAGCCTAATACCTAAGTAATCTATAAAATCCGTAATTGTAAGAGTACATGAGATTTTAATCAGTCACTGCCAAAAACATCCTTTACCTTATCCATGTCTATGTCTAGTGTGGATAATGTGATCATGCATGCTCTTGAATTTGGCCAGTTAAGTGGTTGATCGTAGTTGCGTAATCTTGTCTGCAATGAGTTCCACAGTCTACAATATTGATAAATTTATACTATTTCATCAGCGCATAGGGATTCATTGAAAAGTAATATTTACGTTATCTTCGCCTAAAACCTAAGTAAACGATATCTAAAATGTATTTCAATTTCATAAATTAGCACAACAATTTCTCTTCTATTGTATAGTCAGTGATGCTATAATATCGAGAATGAATTTATTTTCAATAAAAGCAATGAAAGAGCAATATGATGTAGAATGTAGACCTTCATCTACTTCTAATACAAGATGACTGAAACAGCAGAAGGAATGTTGATATAGGTATTCTAATGGAGATTTGCTGTAAGATAATTTAAAGAGAATAGGGTGTAGTATGAAGTGATCGGTATAGAAGATCGTTAAAAATTTGGCTTAGGTAGATTTAATATAACGTATTTTTGGTCTTTAAATTTTACAACGCATGTAGTTTTAGAAGTTGTTCTAATGTACCAGAATTTGCAAATTACAATTAATGATCTCAGATGTCTGGGTGATAGTTTGTTACTATGATGATGATATAGTACAGTACTTTCCTTCGTATCATACAGTTATACTGGTTACTCAAAAGATATTTAGCAATTACTATTAATAATTATAATGACCTCTGTAGTGCCGTACAGATACTATATCAATATTAATCATAAAAATTTCAGAGTATTGTGTTTAGAGATATGGTACAGCACTAAATTTTAACTCAAAAATCATGATTGTAAGGTAGGTTTTATTACCGGTCGTAATCAAATGTCCATCTAACCCATATCGAAGGGATATCAAGACTATTCAATTAAAATGATGAAAGCACGATCATTATCAGCTAGGAGAAAGGAGTTTACATTTTCATTTGAGCACAGGCTGACGAAGTGCAGTGTTCAAACCATGACGATTTGTACAATTCGTATGTTTTTATGGCTAGTTTACGATTTCGTCCAAATTATCATGATTATGATCGATCTAACTAAGTAAGCATCATTTTGATGATCTCTCACCTAGCCTAGCATGCAGGCATTTACTGGTGGTAGTACTGTATACATTCATAAAGTGTAGTTGCCCATGAATGCTGTATGCACATTCATACGCGTATATGAAACGATGAATATGATTATTCGGCAATGCCGCTATCATTGCATATTGAAAACACGTACGTATATCACAGATATAACCATCAAGACAGTATAACAACAACGTTGATAACGACTTTCGTTGTGATTTTAATCATTTTCCGTTGTGTAAAAAATGACTCATAGTGGAATTACTTCTAAAATGGCTATTCAACTAAGGGGCAAAGTATTGATTGATTTTAATCTTTCTAATTAGTACATTCATTAATTAATAACAACATCATGACATACTGTACTATACCTATCCTTGCTGATGATATCTGATTCATAGGTTAATAAGCGTAATGGGTCTGCTAAGTAAATATCTTCCAGTTGAATTTTATTATAACACATGGAAATAGCGTCTTGAATAGACTGAAATGATTGTGTAAGATGACAACAGGTGAATTCCAATGCCATTCCACGTATTTGATGATCGATATCAGCTACTGTAGTTGGCGGAGCTAATTCATCATTCGTATCCTTTACAAAATTACAATCGCCTTCTATCCATTGGATATCGTCGAAAAAATGATCGTCTTCATTTTCTGCATTGGGTGATTTCGAGGAATCCATACCTTGAGTAGCTACAGTAGAGTGAATGGCGGGGGGGGGGGGGAAGGAGGGAGCTATAGGATTCGCTATATCAAATCTACAATATCTTCGATGGCCTACAGCACCCAATTGAGGAAGCTACTGTTTGCATATTTTAAGTAATTCATATCACTGCACTATAGTGTACTGTACATTTAATCGTGTACAATGTCTGTCATGCTGTCTAGAAAACTGCGCAGGTATTCTACCATTTTGGACTCCATACGAGTTATGACTAATACAGGAACTACTGTAGTCCAGTAGTATCTAATAGAGATAGAAGGAAACCTATGGTAGTACTATATTCGATTTTATTCTGTCTATGGGTAAAAGGCTAATGTCATGTTGAATCTATTTTGCATAATCAGACAGTATAATTTATCCATGTTAGTATACTTAGTATTATATTGACTTTGATTTATATCGATAGACGTACGTGTAAAAACATGCTTCAAAGCTGTGCAGAAACCTATGCAGGTATTCTGCCATTGACTACGCCTGATGACTAGGGTTAACTAGTAGCATTGCGGTATTGACCTTCTGAGCTAATTCTATATACAAATTAAAACACCGAATTTATATCCAAACAACGGATAAAGTATAGGAAACATTTTTGCTGTAGTACAATACTCGTCGAATCAATTAATAGTAGATTGGCACTGTATTTTATTTGTTTGTTTACTGTATATATAGTACAATCAGACACTCGTGTTTTGCGACTTCTTCCTTCATCACTCAGGTATTGTACCACTTCCTACGACTTTTGACCGATATATCTCGATAATATCAATATCGAGTAGTATAAAGGCTAACATCGTTTTAAATCTGCTTTATTTTACATCATTGCAAAGTGAAAAGTCCATGTTATACAGTATACCATGTATCGCGAGTGTGAGTTCGGCTAGTCAATCAATTGAAATTGAATTTAATCGAGCTAACGCTAGGGGGAGGGTGAGAATAATTCAATAAAGTTACTAATTTTAGTATGTACAGTTAGTAAGAAGGAAATGAAGCCAGGTACAGCAGTCAAACAGCTCCTGTAGATGGACCTAGTACAGTACTGACAATATATCGAATAGTCCATGATAGGTTGCAAGAATCTTCTTCAACTCGACATCGCTGAAACAGCTCTGTACGCGTATTGCATATTAGTCTGAATGTTTCAGCGACGTTTGGTTGACAATTTTTACAAGCTAGAGATGGCCTACTGTACAGTGGAAAGAGAGAAGGACGACATAGTGACCGTTCAGTGGAAAATAATGACGAGCTTCTTATTTTTCTAGCCATGCTACCACTGAAACTATACTATACTGTATACTGTAAAACCAGGGAACTTCTCCAATTTTTTTTATCCGTTAAAATGATCAGCAAAATAGTCAACCCCTCATTTTACTATATTGAATGACTGTTCCTGTTTTCTCTTTCTTAGTACTGTACAGTCATGGACTACTAGAAGAAGATCTAGACCCGATCACTCTTGGGCGTTGGCCAGATACCATCAAACAATGTCCTAAACGTTTGCGGAAATGGTGGACTCTAAGAGACTATCTAACTCTACAAGATGACTACATATAGACGACATGCTATACATATAAAGACATTATCTCAATCCCATCTAAAACCTATAAATACCCTTGTACGCTAACTCGTTAGTCAGTTCCTACATTCCTGCTATCTCAAATACCTTATCTATAACAACCATATCATTGTTAGCCTGTAACTTGTATCTCAATAAAATCCTTTATACCTTCTATCATCGTCTACCTTAAAATACTTTACGCTACTTAAAGAAGATATCATTACAGGCGGACAGACATTTCTTGCCTTATTTCGTCAAAATATTTCGTTATGACTGTACTGTACTTTAGCATAGAGACGGTCGATTTGGGATAGAATGATTTTTTTTTAACTGTAAATTAAGTCATCTTGCGTTGAATCTGTTACTAAGTTCCGCTTGGAAACAGTTACATAGGATCGTCGATGTTATTGAAATTAGTACCAATGACTTCGAAAATAGACACGGAAGATCCACGCCAAATAATGTTGCCATTTATCGATATTTACAGCCTCATTGGGTAAGGAAAGTCTGTCCGTCTGAGCGAACGATCAGTTCAGGTCTTCTTCCAGGGTAGTTAACTCGCCACAAAGGTCAGAATTCGCAACAATACATATTCGCGCCAAATTGAACATCATGTGATCAAATCTCATCAATCAGGACATTTCGCGCCAAGTTAGCGCGATTGTGCAGGCTTTTTTTCAAACTATGATGGCTAGCACCACCATAGGTGATATAGATTCGTTTAAAGTTGACTATTGAACGTGTAGTTAAGGTCATTTTAAAGTCATGAATTAACATCTCAAAAGGATTGCATTCTACTCCGATCGAAGTAAAGGTGTTATTGAAACGTGATTTTGCTACTAGGTAGTCTTGCAAAAGGAGTTTCAAATCGAGATTTCATCATCGGTGATTTTATACAACGTCAATTGTGGAAAGGTGCTTACGTGAGGTATAACTAACAGCTGCTATCAAAGCATTGGCAATTACATTATTGAAGAGTAGACGAAAAGTAAGATTGCAATCAATAATTCATAATTTAGCTACCTGGCTGACGTAACAAGTGTCTTTTTGCAGGTTAAACGTTTCTTGATCGATACAGTAGCATGGCTGGATTTGATGATCCTGGTGTTTTCTTTAGCGATTCTTTTGCTATCGATGAACAACAAGACGATCAGCAATTAACGAAGACTCTTGCTCAAAAGAAATTTAAAGAGTTTATACGTGAATATCATGAAGATGGCCTTTCTTTCCGATATCGGTAATTAAATTGGAAGGGTAACTCCAGATTAGCCAATGCTAGTACAACAATTCTACACACAAAATAATAAGCCCTCTCCTACTCGAATCATTAGCATATTTTCGCCTGATTTTTCATAACAATTTATGCTCCATCAGTGCAATACATTCTCCATGTAAGCCAATGTCATCAATGCTATAACTGTCAAGTTATAACAAACAGCCTTCCAACTGTAGTTAGTAATTTACCCAATTTCTCTTCTTTTTTATACCAATTAACCTTCTATTTTTCTCAATTTTTCATATACATGCTATTATAACTTCTTAGAATTTTATTGTCGTTAATGTCGGATATTTCGATTGATTCATTAATCCCCTCCCTTACTATCAGTTGATGGCAACAGTTTAAGCGTATGGTTATCTCGACTGTAGCTGCGTTACCATTATCATTGGCTTAGCTCAAGATGTGTTAATATGAGTTTCAACTTAGAAAGTACTACAAAGTAGATGCGGTAGTCGAATGTTGCTATAACTACTGTATTATTATACATTACACCTCTCGTTCACTACTTAAAAGATATAATAGGACATTAATTCGAGAAAGGTTACCAAATCAATTACTTACAAGCTAGTAAATGAAAACTCAAAACTTCCACTTAATCAATTTTCTGTATTTTTCTTGTAATGTGTAGCGATGACCTGCGAAAGCATTATAACATGGGTCAATATTGGTTAGAAGTAGATTTAGACGATTTAAGGAACTACGATGATCAACTGGCCGATCATTTAATTAAGCAGCCATCCGAATATTTACCTTCGGTAATATTATCTTAATGCTAGTAATGTGATAATTCATGTCTTAAATCGAAGTATCAAGGCAGTAATGCATCCATTTTAAATTGGAAACAGTTTGAATCGGCTGCAAAAGAAATGGCCGATGAAGTAACCAAGCCTCGCCTTGAACATGAAAGTGAGATCCAAGATATTCAGATTATGCTTAAATCCGATGCACATTCAATCAAGATACGAGATCTAAAGGTAAGCAAATTAGATGAATGTACAGTATCTATTTTAAAAATAATACCTGGCACGATTCTATTGATGGAAGATATCAAAATCTATACAATTTATGCCATAGATTAGCCTACCTCGTAATTTGAGTTTCGCTAGAGTCACAGTTGACTGGGGACTACGTTAGCTTAATACAGTGTTTCGTAACCTATGAGAACTACTACATATTCTTACAAATATAAATATGGGTAGTATATAAAATATATCATTAATCACCCTCATGTTGATTATTACAATCCTTTTTTCCTAAAGTCGGATCACATGTCGAAATTAGTTAAAATTTCGGGAATTGTTATCAGTTCCTCAAGTGTCCGAGCGAAAGCAACCCACCTAACAATACAGTGTAGGAGTTGCAGAAATTTTGTCCCTAATATAGCTGTTCGCCCTGGCCTAGAGGGATATGCATTACCAAGAAGATGCACTACGTAAGTTACAGTTACGTTGAGTATGAAGGTTATAAAGTCGAAATGTCTTACTGAATCAATTAAAGTGATTTTTTACAATATTAATAATTGGCTATTAGTTGCATCTACTACACAGTAGGTTTTCGTTGCAAATGTATATTTTTGTTAAATCTTTCAAGCATACCGCTAGACATTTATGACAATTACATTCTGCTTATTCGAACCATTATTTTAGTGATCAGTCTGGTGGCGTAAAATGTCCATTGGATCCTTACTTTATCGTACCTGATAAATGTAAATGTGTTGATTTTCAGGTATTGACTTAAATTTTTACTCCATTAATTTTATGCTAACATCGAAACATTTACGTCATTAAGTTTTAAGATTGTTAAAATACTGAATCTTTTATTCAGATTTTAATTGATACGAAATGTACATGCTAGCGTCCTTTTCTAAGCCGTAATATTGAATATATGGGCTTTTAATTTTTTTGCGGGAGCTTGCTATAGGTGATTATATACGCGTATATACTATTAAAACGCTATCAATATTTATTTCGTTTTCTTAGGTACTTAAACTACAAGAAACACCAGAAGCTGTTCCCAATGGTGAAATGCCAAGACACATGCAGTTATATTGTGATCGGTATACAAGTTGTTATTATAAAGTAGTAATTTAATATAATATCCAATAGGAAAGTTCGAGTAGCAAGTGCGTAGTCAGATTAATATATGTGGTGTTTCTACTTCTAGCTATTTAACGGAAAAAGTTGTCCCAGGTAACAGAGTAACAATCATGGGTATTTATTCAATTAAAAAACAAGCCAAGGTATAAAATTAAAGCTACAAATTTAAGTTCATACATTCTACACAACATAGATACTTTATACACTCAATACGGTACTGTTTACTTTCGCTATAAATCCGCAGCTTGGTCGCGATAATGTTACTGTTGGTATCCGTAAGCCCTATTTAAGAATTGTTGGTATTGAACTGAATAATGAAGGACCTGGCAGAAGTGCCAAATCAACCGTATCTTCTGAAGAAGAAGAACAATTTAGGCATTTGGCAGCGAGAGATGATATACATCAGGCTATTGCTAAGAGTATTGCTCCTTCTATATATGGCAGTGAAGGTAGAAATTATTCAGAGAAATTGAAGTTAAAATGTTTCGAAGTTGTAGAGTATAGCTTAATCTGTTTATTCCAATTGACACAGACATCAAGAAAGCTATAGCATGTTTACTATTTGGTGGTTCTAGAAAACGGTAAGTGCAGCTATTATCTGTTACTTGAATAACGATAATACAACGTAGTAAGTTTTATCTACTGATTAGATTACCAGATGGTTTGGTACGCCGAGGGGATATTAATGTATTGCTGTTAGGCGATCCTGGTACAGCAAAAAGTCAATTACTTAAGTTTGTCGAGCAAATTGCTCCAATTGGAGTGAGTCTAGTTCATTATTTGTATTACTTATATAATATAATGAGTAAATATGTAATTTGGATTGGTTTTATAATGAGCTACTTACGCAATTTATATATTGAACTGTCCAATACGAATATATACGAATTATTAGGTATATACATCGGGCAAAGGGAGTAGCGCAGCCGGTCTTACGGCGTCCGTCGTAAGGGATCCTTCTTCGGTATGATTACGTCAAGAATAAAGATGTAACATGTATATTATTAATCATTAAGGCTTTTCATTTTAAATAGAGAAATTTTATAATGGAAGGAGGAGCAATGGTTCTAGCGGACGGTGGAGTAGTGTGCATAGATGAATTCGATAAGGTATACGTATCAGGCGTCTATTCTTACATTTCACACAGTGCAACTTATTAATTTTGTTATGATTATTGTTGCATTAATTACTTATTAGATGCGCGAGCAAGACAGAGTGGCTATACATGAAGCTATGGAACAGCAGACGATTTCTATTGCTAAGGTAATAATCTTCCGTTGCTTCGCACACTATTGAATCACAGCTTGTCAACATTATCTTTATTGTATCCACTGCTTACAGGCCGGCATTACGACAACTTTAAATTCGAGAACGTCGGTATTAGCCGCTGCCAATTCTGTGTTTGGCCGATGGGATGAAACCAAGGGCGATGAAGTAATGAAATTGTTCTTCATCCGTTTATGGTTTATGTGTTTATAAAATTACTTCTACTAATTAATAATTTGACTCCTATTAGAATATAGATTTCATGCCTACTATATTATCTCGGTTCGATATGATATTTATTGTTAAAGATCAACATGATGAGCAACGTGATACTACACTGGCTAGACATATCCTTCAGGTTCATCTAAACGCCTTACAAAGTACATCTAATAATAGTGGAGAACTTGACTTAAACCTTCTAAAAAGATATATCAATTACTGCAGAAGGTAAATTACCACAATACTTTTACAAGTTATTTCAGTCTGTCTTTGCGATGTTAGCTATTACTTTATTACATTTATACGTTGTGGGTTTTAGTAGGCTTAAGTGATCTGTTTATTAATGCTTAATGATCGCTGCTTCGAATATACGTTAATATTTAGCAAATGTGGACCACGACTCTCAGATACAGCAGCCGAGAAGCTTAAAAACTGTTACGTTCGGATGCGTGGCGGAGCTCAAATCTACGAAAGAGAAAATGATAAGAGAATTAACATTCCTATCACTGTCAGACAGTTAGAAGCTGTTATTCGTATGTCTGAATCATTGGCTAAGATGTCGTTATCACCATTTGCGGTTGAATCTCATGTTGACGAAGCTCTTAGACTCTTCCAGGTTTCAACCTTAGATGCTGCCATGTCTGGGAGTCTCACCGGTAAATTGGATCACAATTAAATAACACTCTGTAAACTACCTTACTTAAAATGTTTCTACAAATTGTAAATTTGCAGGTGCGGAAGGATTTACACCGAATGAGGATCAAGAAGAGGTCCGCCAAGTCGAAACACAACTAAAAAGGAGGCTAGCAATTGGCTCTCAGGTTTATATTAACTCTTCTATAATCCTCTTAGAGTTATCCACTAACAAGATCCAATAGTATTAAATCGGTTCTTTACATTTTAAAGGTATCTGAACAACGTGCGATTCAAGATTTCTTAAAACAGGTAAATCAATGTTTGATATCGCTGGTAGATATAAATCCATGATAAATTCGTTAATATGTACATCGTCAACTTGCAGAAATTTTCAGAGCGTGCTATCAGAACTGTACTACATATTATGTTAAGGAGAGGTGAACTGGAACACCGAATGCAAAGGAAAGTTATTTTTAGGGCTCGTTAACCTTACCACTTTTTACGTGATACTCAGAACTAGTATTAATGTAAGGAGTTGATGCAGTCGTATATATAAAAGCTACTGTAGAAGTACGGTAGTATAACTTCGATCAGAGGCCAGGTTCGTTTATTTCATTTATACGAGTGTAAGGAATTAATGTATTATTAGCAATGAACAGACGCCAAACCTGGTTTACCTTTGATGGTCATACGCTAGTAATGTAAACCGTAAATTGCATGTTATCGTAACCTCAACAATACTATCTAAGACAATGTTATTCATTTTCTTTTATTGCGATTTTACTTTCCGTATATTTGGTAATTAAAATATGTGAAAAATGGTAATTGTATTCAGCGGTTTGATCATAACAAATAATTTTAGTATTACCAACTGTGAAAAATTTAAAGAATTTTTTATCAACGTTATAAAATACTGTACACACCAATTACTCGACACAGTGTGAAAGTATTAACGTTTTTTTCATTATTGTAATGGAGCCATTATTCAAGTTAAATGCATATAGGATTCAAATAAAGTTTCTTATCTTACTGACTTAATCATCTGACTTGACGCATTGAACTAAATACCAAATTAATTTTACGTTGAGCACTAATTTAATATAATAATATTTATATTATAATAATTAACCAAAGAATATTTTTGAATGATGAAATACATGAATCATCAGTAGCCAGAGCTAAAATTTTCGGCTTCTGTGAACACGAAATCCATGGGCTAAGTGAGTTACATATTGCAAAACTAGCACATTTATTAAGATGACTCATATTGCCGCTTCAATTGATGATATTTTTAACCTAATTTTACGTTACATGAAAGTCAAATCAACTCGTTTTGCTCGATATGGAACAAAATATAAAACTGATCGAGAATGAGCTATAAATAGCTTGCGTAAATAATTTTAATTAATTAATATCCAAGTTTAAAGTCTTGTCGAATTGACAGCTGTAAAGAAAAATATTCAGAAAGTGAGTCAAAATTACTAATTATCAGATAACCTTCGCCGTGTAGAAACTACGAAGTCTCACCTTGCAGTACTTCTGCTTTCGCATTATCAATATATCTTCCAACAGCATCCATAATATCTTCTTTCATTTTATCAAAAATTGCTTCAACCGCACTGGCAGATAGATTTGACGGGGCAGTTGATTGCCTATATAAGTAAGTCTGTATTAGATTTCGAAGCTGTTAGAAGTAGCGATGGTCATTAATTATACGCATTATGTCCATACTGATTAAGATTAGTGGGTTGGACTGCAGAAGTATTATTCATTACAGGTCCGTTCTTCGGCACTAAAGAATTGAATTTCAAATTATCATTTTCCTTTTAGAATTGCAATAGTTGTAGATATAGTAAGAGAGATAACTGAATTACCAGAAGAAGAATTTGACTTAGATTGAGAAACAGTAACAGTTTTTTCCGGTTCCTAAATACAATTGATTTAATAAAAGACTGAAATATTCGTATATTTTTACAAGTTTAAAAGTCAAATGTATATGTATAAAAATAAAAAGCGAAAGTTTAATTGTAAAATCACTTTCAGCTAACCTCGGATTTATTGCTACTTGCGAATCTATAAATTATCAATATAAAAGAAATGAATTATTCAATGATCCTATAATTATAGAATATGGACAGTTTTGATTGCCTGAATTGCATACCGTTCAGCCAATTTCCTATGCATTTCTGACATAATAGAACCTCCACCACTACCACTACTTGTCGCAGGAGCATTGTTTTGTTTTTTTTCCTTAAAATAGAATAAGAAAAGCTAAAGAAATGTGACTTTATTGTTTCGTAACAAAAAATGTAATACCTTGGTGGCTACTGATCTTAGTTTTACGGAAGACAGACCGCTTAGTAATCCACCTTTACTAGGTAAGTTAGCGTTCGAATTAGCTGTTGGAGCAGGTGGTGGAGGTGGTGGTGGTGGTTGTGAACCACCAGTAGGTGGGGCCACACTTCGTAGAGAGTGACTACCAGCCATTAAGGACGTAGGTGTTGGCGCCGGTGGAGGTGGAGGAGGCCCTGAAGTAGTTATCGATGTAGGCATTGGAGTTGGAGCTGGTGGTGGAGCGGGCGCTGGTGGTGGAGCTGGTGCTGGCGGTGGAGCAGGCGCTGCTGGTGGAGCGGGCGCTGGTGGTGGAGCGGGCGCTGGTGGTGGAGCGGCTGCTACTGGCGTAGGCATAACCTTCGACACATTTGAAGTTGGTGCTGATATAACCTGATGACTATTACTAACGTTTCCAACATTCACGCTTCGCGGTGCATCAAATGCAGCATGTTTTTGATCAAGACCAGGAGTTGACGGAGCTGATCCTCCAATTATAGTAGAAGAAGGCCGATTCATGTTGGAAAGGGGTGGACGTGATGGCTCGCCTGTGTATCAAAGTACCGAAAAAATTATCAAGACAGTAAGTACTCCTCTATGAACAAAGTATATATATATACACTGACTAATGGTTACATAAAATGGATTAGCATTATTGAATTTCTAATTTTTGTCTGATACAACGTAACAACTTACCTGAATTTTCAGTAAGGCCAACCGGTGGTCGAAAACTCTAAAAAATAAAATTACACAACTTACTTTTAATTCGTATCTCGATTACCTAATCATAACAGATATTGGTAACAACCCTCATCTAAAAAATTTTCTAATTGATAGCAAGTGTTGTATCTTTAAAAGCCAAATTACACGTGACAATATTCAGCACAGGTTACTTAACAGATCGTTATTAATTTTAGTGTAAAGTACCGTGTATAATTGGGGTTACTCATTTATATCAATAAATCTTTACAATATCTCAGTGTGTTTATTGTCTATCAAAGTACTTGTATTGCATACAAGTTGATATAACAGCATCAATCGATATCATTTCTATCTCAAATTAGCATACCCTTGGTAAAGTTTGATTTTTCTTGTTAACTCCCATAGCGATCGATGATTGTGCCGCTAATATGAAATGAAATGATTAGTTAAATTGAATCAAGTTATACAGTATAGCCAATTGGTGATATTTACGTATCTACCAGTAATACTATAATCATTGATGACGTATGAAATCAGTAACAGTAGCAAAGTACGAAAAGCGTAAATTAAGACGAATTTGACAATATAGTCTTATTACATCATTGAATAAATGCATCAGCAGAATTTCAATTAAGTAATAAATGTATCTTTAGTTAAAGCCGTAAATCTTAGCCTAAATAGGAGCTAATATAAATTTGATTGATGCACACACGTATAATATCATGATACCATCCAAGTGCAAAGAGTAAAAGAGCAATAGGTAAACTAATTACTGAATTATCTTGGTTGATTATGAAATTGTTAAAAAGGAATAGTGGTGCCATTGACAATTCAATTGCGAATATTAACTGTCTCTACTAGAGATGAGTATACGTGCCTTGAAGCAGAACTAGTGTACGAAAATAAAATTAACTCAACGTGTATGTTATTCAAGGTATCAACACTAGCTATGTCAACGGTTCAAAATTCTATGTGATAGAATGTAGGTGAAACCTCTCTCGTATACAGGCACAAAATAATAGAAGTTTGATGCATATCAAAAGTATATACTATTGATAAATTTTTAAATAATTCACTTGTTGGACTCAGTCCTCAATTAAGTAACTACAGTTAATACTTGAAATACAAAAGAATCCTTCATATTGAAATGAGTATCAAATACTGTATAACACATATAAAAGACGAAAGGTTTCCATCTACTGTACTGTACATATTTACGATGCTAAGCTAATAATAACTATATAATCATGAATGACATGATGTCAATGGTCCATAATAGTAAGCAACTAGCATTTACTGAAAAAATAAAGAAATTCTTACCAGCAACTAAACCGTCTAATGCTTCCTTGATGACCTGATAGAATTTATTAGCTTCGTCCTGACTGGCAAAATTAAAACCGAAAAATTGACGTTGATCACGCCATTGATGGAACGAAGCTGCCGCTTGAGTATATTTAAGCTTATGATGTAAGCAAGCATTGATTGTTACCTAAGAATCAGCAGCAATTAATGAGTAAATTAATATTGTAATTTACCCTATTGATCAAGTATACATTATAGGCTGTAGTAAATACTGTATAAATCACTTTGCTATCACAATATAATGGAAAATTTCAATGCCATCGATAGTACAGGGATAATCTAACTATAAATTTTTAAAAAATTTTATTCGTAGCTGATTATAATGCCAATTATAATTAATTAGGAATACTACTTATCAAAATACTTGCATTGTAATAAGGCTGAATGTAAGATTTGCTCCCTAGATTTACTATAATATCAACTAATAACCTTTCTATTCTACTTTTAAAAATAACGTACACATTATACTACTTCTACAAGCTCAAGTAAAAGGTGAGGAGACACTATGTTAGACAAAGATTATTGTTTTATCTTAAGTTGAAAGATCATACTCCTGAATCGTTCTGTCTTCTACCCACGACACGATACATGTTTGTTTGCGCATTATGTAAAACGTATAATTTTGATACTCCATCTTTACCATCGACAGGAACCCAAGTCTTTTGAGAATAATCGTAGGACATTACAACGGCTTGCGCCTTATATAGAGATTGTTCGCCGTGAGCGCTAGAAAGACATACAAGTACATACGTAGTGGATCAGTTATTGATGAGGAAGAAATTTTTATAATCATCCAATTTTTCAGTGTCATCGTATGATTATACAGAAATACTATTACAAAATAGGATAAAAAATTCGGAAAGCAAAAAGGATCAGATACAAAATATAGCAATATTATGATATACCATCATCATAAAGCTCCCATTTTTATGACTTTTGCAAACATTAGCATAAGTCATACTGTAAACACTATACGGGACTCCATCATTTCTTTAGAATAATAAACAAATGCCTTATTTAATCCACGTAAGGTATAAAAATGTAGGATCGATTCTTGACTAGTCTATAACTTTATTAGCTGCATATTACATTACGATTCCATTAGAATTTCAGAACAATTATAACAGTCGAGATTGTAGCAACAATAGAGATTAGCAAGATGATGCCTTAATATCGCGTTATTGTTCTGCCATCTGGTTAATAACAGCGATGAGTTTATACGCGTCCACTCTGGTAATACCGTAATTCATCTATTGAAATAATAGCAGAAGGGTGTCGTTATCAGCTAAATCCAAAAGGTTGATCGCTGTTGTAAACTTTTTAAAATGTCTTCTCTTGGCAACGAATGATTTCTTGTAGATTAAAGTGGCGGCTATACGACAGTTTAAAATTGAATTTTTATATTTGTGCACTATATGGACGTTGGATATGTAAATTATAATTATAGTAGCTAGCTTTGGTACTTTACTCATCGTACGTGCCAAGGTAAATGTACTTTCCAGTAGACTATGAAAAGTTATTTAGTGTGTAGTCCATTAAAAGTCGATTGTTATTGAGCTTGAAAGCCGCGGGTATATCATTTACTACAAAACAAACTTCCTGACAATAGAGTTTATCGTATTGATCAAAGGAAAAAGTAATCTTGAGATTTACCCAAGTTGTGTCGTCTTGGAGATACGTCGATAACGCTAGCTTAAAGCTATTTCCATTGCAAATGGTACCGCCAAGGTAGAGAATGCTACCATTGTGTACAGTAGACGTATTTTGGAAGGTTTCTATGCAGGTTTAACTGGATGCTTTGATACATGACTCAACAAGTTCAATCAGTAATGCACGTTGCCTTATTTCGAACTCGAGGGAATCGATAAATGAATTAATTAATTTGCGATCTGAATGAACTCAAAGCAAAAACGAATGGGGGATTCACTAGCCTTAATACGATAATTACATGAAAGATTATCGATTACTAGCTTGGAAAATCTCCTAGCTAGAATGAGTGATATTAACACTACTCCAAGAATTCGTATTATCGATTTATAGTGATGGCTAACGATAAAATCGTTGACGACATTTCAAAGTGCGTGGACAATCTGGCGTCAATTCAACAAGTTAACATTTGTGTAGGGACATGCAAGGCAACGTATTGCAATAGGCTTGTGTATGAAGATGGGTGTAAGCATGGCACAGTATATACTGGCGTGTTAATGCTATTTGGAGGATCATTGCATTGTACAAGTATAATGAAAGCAGCGAAATGCGATCCATTTTCATACAGTATTGCATTTCAAGTTGGCTCTAATTACACCATTGGAGACGTTCAACTTACCTCATTGCAAGTTAGGATGTTCAAAATGGAATATAAGCTGTAAAAATATGAGAAACTATTCCAACGTTGACGAATGCTTGCTATGAAGAATCGCCGATCTTGATATGTTGAAGATTGGTGTCCAAGCTACGTTTCCAACGCGGTCAATAAAAAGCACTACAAGCTAATTTTAATATTGGACAAAATAGTCAAAAACTTGATTGCTGGTACTAGGTAATGCAGTAAAGTAGAGGCAGAGTAGTGGTGAAGTGGATAGAATTGCAAACTATCTTTAAGACTGTGAGGAATGATTTCAAGTGTGGTGTTGCTTATAAATACAGTAATATTAATAATTGCTGGTAGACGTTCTACGTTGACAAATGTCAGTTGATTTGAAAACTACCATCTAATGATAGGATTGATTCCTTTAGAAATACTACTGCTGACAGTAAATTACTCTTCAAGCCAAAGACGCTAAGCAGTACTGGAGTCAGGTCGAAATAATTCCCTAGACGGTAATATTGACTAACGTCAGCTTGATAGTAATTTCAATATTTGCCCAAAAGTTTTGCCTTCCAATTTCTACTTTCCTACCATGTAAATAGGACTTGTATGATGGAAGTGCAACGTACGGTACACTGAGTCTAGTGCTGTACGTATCCGTTTCGCCACGGGACTTTCATCGGACGTACAGTACAGCAGGACATCGATCTATTTTGTATACTGTACACTCTACGGTGTACAGTACTGTCAATGTTAGTAAGGGTTGTGCAGTACTGTACGCATCCGTTTCGCCACGGGACTTTCATCGGACGTACAGTACAGCAGGACATCGATCTATTTTGTATACTGTACACTCTACGGTATACAGTACTGTACGCATCCGTTTCGCCACGGGATTTTCATCGGACGTACAGTACAGCAGGACATCGATCTATTTTGTATACTGTACACTCTACGGTATACAGTACTGTACGCATCCGTTTCGCCACGGGATTTTCATCGGACGTACAGTACAGCAGGACATCGATCTATTTTGTATACTGTACACTCTACGGTGTACAGTACTGTCAATGTTAGTAAGGGTTGTGCAGTACTGTATGCGGTATCGTACTGACTGGAGCATTCCTAGCCAAAAATGAGCTATTTTTCTATACTTGTAGTCTATCAAACTTGAGCTTGATTAACCGTGAAGAAGTTCCACGGTAAAGCAGGATATGCCGGCGACGACTCAATAATTGCGGAATGATCAAGTAGTCCATGAAACATGATTGAGTTAATGGTACAGTATCTCTATGCCAAGTAGATGGATCTTTTTTTTCAGACAAAACGAGTACTGTAGTAAGTAGTAGCTACTGAGTTGCTTCTACAGAGTACAGTACTATACTGTACTTCGCGTGCTAACTGAAGTCTTTTTACTCATCGTTCGTGACAATTTTGCCCAACTGTCCAAGGACAGCACGACAGTCAACACCGGTGTCCTTAATAAAAAATCAACCCGAAACACGATTTGAACCCGACTAGAGGGAGGCTTTCAGGTTCAATAATTCTGTGCTGATACAGTGTTTGTATAGCGATTGCACTCATTTCGGGTTGCGTTTTTACCCCATGGAGGGGCAAAAAAATTGGGCAAGATTTGCCCTCAACAGTAACAGCATTGTAATACAGTACAGTACTTCAATCTCTCTCTTTTTACAGTACAGTGTACAGTGTACAGTAGTGTACAGTACTGTACTCACTGTACTGTATGGGTTTGTATGTGCATGGCATGAGCATTGAGCAAGCGTATTGGCTTGTCGTGACCTATTTGATGGATTTCGTGACCATCTGCAGTTTCTACATTCTCAATCTCTTGACATTGTACTGTAGGTCGTCTATTGTTGTACAGTACTGTACACTTAAACCCGTACAGTACTGTACTGTACTGTACAGTGCAGTAAACGATGATCTTTTTGTATGGTACTGTACTGTACTGTACTGTACAGTAGTTTCTACTTTCAGTTACAGTGCTGTGTCTTGTAGCTGTAGAGTATTTAGTACTGTAACTGACTTCTGGTTTTAGAAGGATCTCGAAGGATTGTGTACAGTATGTTACGATAGTCTTATTGGCATTTTTAGAAATTGATTACACAGTATTCATACATACTGTATAATTATTGATATTGATTATTATTATTTAAAAGCGTTATCACGAGTTCGCGACCCAAGGACAAGTTCTTCCCTGGAAAACATTCTGCAAAAGTAGTATGCAATGGTGATCGTGCCTTTTTCCATATAATGATTGTAGCAGTAGTACAGTAATTGATTATTGCCCTTCAATCCGGTCAATAATCAACCGTGCAAGAAAAAAATCGAACGATCGTATTGATTTGATTTGGCGCCTAGTACACTTCCAAAAAAAAATCAATTTTTTCCTGTCTACTACAGTACAACGTGTGCCAGCAGGAACAAGTCTTTGGCTTTAACTACTTGTACTTGTCTTACTCAACTCCACCGAAAGTTGGTACAGTACGCTGACTAATTACTATTCTTGAATTTCAAAGAATTGACTCGTGGCTGACGAAAAATCGCTTCCTTGGACTGAAATACTTTCTTGACCCCTTTATACTGTATACCTATAGAGATACATGATGGATGACTTGTACAAATTTCTACAATTACAACCCAATGATAGCAGTTTTAAAGATGTTACCGAGAATCATAACTCTGGTATAATATCAAGGAAAGAAGATTTATTGAAAGAGGATATTGCAACTTTCTATGACGGTAAGATTGATTTATTTGTGGTTCCGTAATATCGACTTGGTTGCCTTGACCAATAGTTTTGTTCAATTATCACCAAATCAACCGAACACTTCTCTCAAGTTAAAATATCATTGCATACGACCCGGAATGTACAGTACAGTATGCTACAGATACCTTTTGAAGTATCATTTCAACTGGAAGATTAATCAATCAATTGATTACTTTAAACTGATCCAAACACTATAACATAGTAGTATTAGTACAACGATTCATATTTTCCGCCGATTGACTTTGCAGTACTGTATCAACACTGATCTTCCTGGCATTTATTATCACCATTTATAGATTCGTTATTCTGTATAGCAATGCATTTAGACAAAGTCATTGATAGAAGTGTAAAAGTCCTATGCAAACTGTAGCAATTGGATATTACTGTTGATATGCAGTGTACAAAAATTTTAAAACTGTACTTTCTGACTTTAAATATTGCTAAAAAAAATTGGCCGATTCTACCATGATTAGTAGCTCTTCTGTTGTCATAACACAATACAGTACAGTACACGTTTGGTCATGCAGGCCACCCTCCTTAAATCAGCTCCCCTATCGCCTTTCCTGCCTGAGCTATACTATATAGTGTTCATGTAGGACTTTAGAAAGATATGGCTAGTATAGTCATACGGCTACCTTTTCGATTTTATTTTATGTTGGCCGTAAAATCAAAGGTGTACAGTACATAGTCTTGTACTGTACAGTAGGAGCATCCGGTACGGTACGGTACGCCTTCGGCAATAACGACAAATGACGACCTATCAACTCGACCGGGAACTTGTAAAAAGCCCCTGATCCGAACATACTTACAGGGATTGCAGCTAAAAATAGTAAATCTAATCTTAATATTCACCTCTCAAATTCTAAATGTAGTAGTTCCAATTGGTAGTTCTTACTGGTACTTTCGATAGGGATTCATTTACTGTTAATTGACAGACTACTGTACAGTGCAGTACAGCAATATTAATTTATTAATTCAAGTACGAGAAAGCCGCGGTAAAGTGCTAAAGTACGTACAGTAGTGGTAGGAAAGGCTTCACTACTTTCACCACGAACGTCTTCGATTTTAGGCTATATACAGTCCCTCACTAATTCACTATATTCTTTATGACTGCCTAACGCAGTGTTACATGATACTACAGGAGCAGGAAATAAAAGATTTCCGGTTCGATTTCCTTCTTGCTCATAACTACAAACTCATTTACTGTACTGTACAGTACAGTAAGTGATTTTATAGGCTAAATGTCGAGGAATCTCTGGAACGTTTTGTAAACTATCGTAAAATAATATCATGAGACCCCAACTCCTGATATACTGGAATAGCGTCGGCATCCCAAATTCGTAATTAATTTAATTTAATTAATGTGTTGCAGTGCAAATTTCAAGACTTAAGCGACGATACAACAAATACAGCATCAGCAGTTAGTACTTTGTATAGACTTTAAATTACTTGTACGTATGCTATTACTGAAGTACTAGGATACATTCGATGGGGCCCAACTTTAACGTCATATTAACAAATACTTAGCGTTTATAAAGCCTAAATACACGCTCGTTTATTACAAGAATCGATCACACGGTCTTGGTCTAGAATTGTTTTACCATTTGATGGGTAATATTCATATCTTAATATCATACAAATTTAGAATTGTTGGATGCCTTGAAAGCTAGTCATGAATTTGAAAAGAGCTTGAGGTGTAAGCGAAAATATATGGATTACTTTTTGGATAATACCGGAAGCAATTTTTGCCCTGGAAAAGATGATCCAATCTTCTATGATATGTTGGTAACTTTAGAAGAGGTTTATTCGGGATGCCTAAAAGTAGCTAAAATTAAACGCAATGTAAGAAAGTCACTGGCTAAAATTTCTATAAATTTTTTTCATCGATTTTTGTATTCTCGAAAAATTAACCATCATATTTTTACTAGATCTTTGATTTTACTGGTTGTAAACAATGTACGACGGATAAAAAATTAGAAATTACTGTTAAGTCGGGTGCTCCGCCTGGAACTCAATTTCGATTTGTAAATTTAGGAGATCAACATCACAACCGTATTCCTGGTACGCGTCGTGTGCTTATATTTTATAAATTACTAGCTTATAAATTTTGATCAAGAAAAATATTTTTATGTTTATTAGCCGATATCGTGTTTACGTTAAAAGAAAAGCCTCATGATAGATTTGTCCGCGTTAATTCCGATTTGCATTACGTTGCTTCAATCGACCTAAAAACTGTAAGATTTTACACAGTTTACGTCTAGTAATGTTTATTGCTTTTGCCATGTAGGTTAATTACTTTAGTAATATGAACTAAAAATCAATTTTAAATTTAGAAGCTCATTCAAATTCACCAATAAATATAATTATATTTATAGGCCGTCACAGGAGGAAGCATAGCAATCAAATCGATTGATGGAAAAGACCTACAAATTAAGTTAACAAATATTATTGAGTAAGTTTCGAGACTTAGCTGTTTTGTTATTAACCTTAGATTATATCAGTAACGCATCTTCTTGATTATAGGCCAAAATCTGTGATCGTCGTTCCAAATCAGGGCATGATAAGGTGTGATGATAAAAAGCGAGGAGATCTTGTTATTCGATTTGATGTTACGTTTCCGCTGATGGTAGATCCAATAAGCCGTATGATTATAAATGAAGCGTTAGATGATGACAATAAATCATAAACGACTTTGTTATTGCGTTGGGTGTTCTATAAAGATGTACCTCATTTACGATAATATCATTTTAACCTTAAATTTTAATAATTTATTCGCGATTTTATGTTTATTGAATTTTTAATGAAAAATATATACTATAAATTTTAAAATTCTTTTATTATGTATTAAAGTAGCAGGACCCACATGATTGCATATCTATATATATTCGGAGTGGGTACAACATGTCATTGAAACTGACACTGAAAATTATATTGTACTTTAATTTTATACAAATACTATCAATATATCACACAGTTAACATATTCGTACTGTAATCTATAGATGCAACGTTTAAGATACTCTTAAGTATACTAGTTTCCCACGTATTTTCATGTGTTGTTCCAAGATACGGTATATACGCGTATATATAAAATATATTTATGCATTCGTATTTATGAGAGTTCTAAGTGGCAGGCATGATGAAGTATGAACATCATTTACGATGCTTTGAAGGGTTCTAGGTTGCATAATTTCATTCATTCAACGATAGACATTGTTAATATTTAGCTAATTCTGGCGTTGTAGGTTAGCCTAGATACGTATTGTTTAAACTTGTTTTATTCTGAAAGGTTACATTAAACAAAGTGATTATCATAGTTAGATTTACTACATGCTCTACTTGATAGTTTAGCAAGTTAATGACCAGTTATGATTTTTATTATAATAAGTCTAAGTCGAAAGCTATTAATCGTCGTTCAATGTGTTTTTGGTTATCTAAATGTATACGTTCATTTATACTACAATATTATATCTGTACAGTAGTCGTGGCATTGATTTTGCTACCAAGTAATTTCTTGTTCTAACTCCTTATAAAGAGCAATAATTTGCTATTTCAGGACATTTTAGTTAAATGAATAAAAAATTATAAATGCTCCGCAATTTTTGTCGTAAAACTTTCGCACTTTTAAAACGGGAATACCCGTACTTGCATACAGAGAACTTATCAGTATATAAAGCCTTATTCCGACACTGATATCATCACAAAATTTGAATATTTCCCATTTATTTCCATTACAGTAATTGAGTCTTTCGAAAATTTTTAAATCGCAAATCTAATAAAAGAAGATCACTTGAAGTAGAATACAAAGCTATACAAAAAAATTCAATAAATTAAGATAATACAAACTAATCGTAATTGATGCATATCAATATGCTATTGAAACGTAAATTCAGGAATTTATTGTAACTGTTATGGTATCATTCTTAGTAATTATTTTGGGATCATGTAACGCTACTTTTGTTGGGGTGTTTGCCTTCGCAGAATTTCCGAGTATAGTAACAGTCTATATTTCTCAAATTTCTTAATTATATTATCTGTTCTGTATATGAAAAGCCGATATAACATATTTTCCCAATCATTCAATTCTTCTAGGTCGCACGAATTCCACTAGCAAAATCACAATAAAAATAAGCTTTAGAGTTAGAAAGCTATAGTCAGGAGAGATTACTCAACATAGAGTAGTAATAATACGGAAGCTCACATTTAAAGCTTTGTCATCTGATTGATCGAAATATTCTTTTACCGATTCTGCGACATCTACATCATAACATTACAAATTCATATTTATTTTTTATGTAAGGCAATCTTTCTTTAATTGCAAATTTCTTTTTCTGAGTAAATAACTGACCTGGATAGGTATTCCGCCAAGGTGGCATTGAAGTTAAGTTAGGCAATTTTTGTTGGTGATATGCTCTAACGGATTTATTTTCAATTCCATTCAAAGTAACACCAGTGAATTCCCTTTCTTTTGCAAATTTTTCGCTTTGGCAATGTCGAATATCGCCTAATCGTCGCGAGGCGGAAGATGTTTCGAATAATTCATATGCAGTCAAGGTCCTTTGTCGAATATTATGTTTTCTACAATTAAGAGAAAAGCTGTAGTCATGTAGTTTCAATAAATATGTAAGATTATGATATAGAATCGAAGCTGCTTTTATTATACTCGGATAAAGACAGGATCTTGATATAAAGCAGATAAGCTATAAGCTTATAAGTACTCGTACATAATAAGTAAGCATAGCTGACAGTGGCTTAAATGTACTATGATAATTGATACCCTTTCACTGCTTCTTCATACAATAATATCTGGATGCTAAAAGATACTGACTTCTGGATACTTTACGCATATTCTCATACAAAGTGGAACTTACGCTTCTAGATTACTACGGTAATTTGAAGAAATAGGTAAGGGACTACTTCTTTTCCTGTATATTTCTTGATTATTTATTTCTCCAGTAAATCGCACTGTTTTAAGAATTATACAATACAAAGTAGTCAATAATAATAGTAATATAAGACATAATTACATCTGCTATATTAAGAAAAGCTCGCTAACAATATCTAGTATAACAGAATAAGCAGTGATAAATGAAGTACAAGTATACAAATTTGCAATACTAATTAGTTTAGTCATGTTAACCTTGTTCTAAGGGATGATTCCAGTGCGTTGTCCTGGTATATTCGCTATAAAAACAATATGCATTTAGTACGCTTGAATTGTATATTATGAGAAAAAAAAATGTAATAGGGATACAATAATTTGAATTAGCATCAATTCTTTAAGATAAATCCTAACAAGCTGCTGGCTCTCTTCATTATCCATCCAGCTGATTGAGAATAATTGTCATATACTGAAGCATCACCTATAGTGTTAGGTAAGTTAAATTTAATAAAATGTTTGTGATATATTTATTTTATTAATTATAAACACGGTAAGTTCCATTATTTCATATCCTGTAATCAAGACTCTCAATATACATTAGCATGCATCGGTTGAAGATTCAATTATATACTTGCCACAAAGAAATCGGTTTTTGTTTTCGTGATGGAAACGCAATTTATTTCGATAACCTAGCAAATCAGAGTATTTTCTATGGAGATTTTTGCTATCTGGATCTCTGCAACATGAAGCGTTATACAGTATATTTACGATAGTTTAAATAAGACATCGCGTTACTTGTGTGTTACTGTTGAGTGTTAACATGTTAAAACCTATCGTGCTTTCAAGGAGTGCATAGCTCATACTACCTGTACACGGTTCACTAGTACATGTACACTATATTATATACAGTACTTGTAGGCAATTATCAGCATGCATTCATGGTAATACCAGTAATGCATTTCTACCCATGGCTTGGTACATACATACCTATCAATTTCACTTAACCATCTAGATTCTTGAAAGCTTTTACTAGATCGTATCAAATCCTCAGGTCGTTCGATTTTTACCACTGACATTTTGCGTTGGCGAGAGCCATATAATGGGGTCTTGGCGTCTAATTAATTAAGCAAGAATTCTACATCCATTACTACATCATGTACTGCAAATTGTGCTGTACAGTAAGGTGGTGGAGTAAGTAAACATTCATTATAATATACTGTAGCTAGTAATTTAATGACGGTTAATTACCTAGATTGTAGATTAAGTTCATGCTTAAACATGTTAACTGAAGGGGGTCATTTACTGCATTACATTTGTCGAGTCTCATAAGATATTTTTATAAAAAAAGTGGATTAAGAGGGAATTACGTTATGTAACAACCCGATTTACAGTTATTAACTCTAGCGTACAGTATCATTGCATCGTACGAAAAAGGAGGTAAAACAAGTGGAGGATGTGTTCGGTTTTTATAATAACGTATAGCGAGCGAATGGCGTATTTCGACGCATTTTGGAACATGCTTAGGTTACGTATCCATCAATAGAATATTGTGCAATACAGTAGTATAATTTTGGGCTAAAATTAATTCATTAATTTAAAAGCCTAATGATTTTCATTTACTGTGGATTGTAGTGCATGAGAATATTAATGTTATAATTTATAAATTGTCATGTCCAATACAGAAAAAGGTTAAAACTTGATCAATTGTAACTTTACGTCGTTGTAAAGGTATTAACTTACTGTAATATCATTAATATTAACACACCTTTTTCCATTTTCGGGCAAGGGTCAGTTTAGCAACTTTTGTCGATTAACAGTTAGCATGATCAATTGAACGATCGAACTGCATACAAAACATCCATTGAATTCAATCACGAAAAAGCTCATGACATTGGTACATTCTTGATTCTTGATGACAAAGTGACAACTACGATAGGCTGAAGGAGCGGTATCAATTACACCACACTGGTTACGGTTTTTGCTTTTTTAACCTTTTATCAACTGCATTTGCCTGATCAATAGCAATGATTGGAAAACTACGACAATGTAATGGTAACATATTATAAATTCCACAAATAACTGTGAAGTTATAAATACAGTAGTTGGATGCCCCTTGTAAATAAATTAATCAATAAATTGGACAACAAAAGAAAGAACAATTCAGACATGGACATACATCGCGACATACGCATCCGGCAGGTGCAGTACTGTATTGGATCAAAAATCTTTCTCATAAATAAATGTGAATCACACCATTAACTACTCATGTAGTCGACGATCACGCAAACTACTGTACTGTACAATACCTGTATTTTTAATTAAGGTTCTCGTAGGACAGTACTACTGTACTTTTGTAAATACTGCACAGTATTAGAGTAGCTATAATTTATCGATCTTCATTTGAGGATATAGTCAGTACAACTGTGCAAGGAATGCTGTATACTGTGCTATCATGATTGCGAAGTATTGAATTACTGCATTAAGGAATTTCCATCATTGTCCATGAATTACTGTATTATGATCATGGTATCGCGCCTGATACAGTGGGTCTGTATTATTAACATTTCAGAATGAAAAGTGGTTGTAATTGCGAAAAAAAGAAACATTATTATCGTTGTAACCAATTGAATGCATAAAAGTTATTCAATTTTCAAAATAAAAATGGTTATGATTTTGTCAACATAAGCATCCAACGACCTGGCTACTCGATCGTTCTCATTGGTAGTAATGGTACAGTATATTGTACTGTACTGTACTGTACTGTGCAGTGTACAGTACAGTACAGTATTAAATCAATCAATCAATCCCCCCAAAATGATGATGAAAATGGTTTGCAATACTGTACAGTAGTAGAACTACAGTATACTCAGTAGCATGGACTTGTACAGCAAATACTCCAGGGTATCTCGAAGTCCATGTCAGTAGTAATAATAATAATAATATGTATTGGATTGGATGAAATACAAGAGCTATCAAATCAAACTGTTTCAACATTAGCTACTAGGAATACACCCACTGGACGTCTATCAACAATCGAGAAAGGAGAGCAATCCACTGACGTCAGTCCGTTCATCCTGTACTACAGATCGCAGTACGGACGTACTCGAGTAGCCCGAGGCTGAGCTAACGAAAGAATCCCAAGGAGGCCGATCCCTTTTACCGGTCATTTCAGTCATAGAGTCACTATGAACTGTTCGATGCCTCACTACAGTACGGTAGTACTACCTAGTACTACCAGCGAATTTTTGGGCCATTGCCCTGTAAAATGACACCTACAGTACAGTACTGTACACTGTACACTGTACAGTACTGTACAGATCAGAACGGCTTCGAACCGAACCGTTCCCAGGTCTACGCCTACAGTACGGCTCAGTGTACTGTACACTGTACAGTACGGTACTGTAGGCAGAGAGTTAACAGTACTCTACTCTAATTACCCATTGGGAAAAGTCTCACCCACTGGCTTACAGAAGTTCACTACTAACTGGACGTTGCTTGTGTACTTTCCAGCTTGTCATTGCCTTTTTTCCTACGTGCATAACTAATTAGTGTTGAATCTTGCTCGCTACGAAAATTCAATCACTGAAATTAACCATTAAACGACAGCAGTTATGTCAAGTTGTTAACCTTGGTGGGCTTTATTTTGCCGACTGGATTGAACTGATCCTGCTATTGTATGCAATAATCCCAAATTCATGTAAGGCTATATAGAAAAATGGGATTGCAAAAATTGCTAACATTACTTTCTTTGACACTGTCTCTCTTACATGCTACTCTATAGTCTACATGCTGGACGTTTAGATTTCACAGAGTTATACAGTAGTAGCGAAATGAAGAAGAGTCAATTAATTAATTTTAGGACAATGAATTTGTTAGTATATTCACTTTATTGCAGCTATTACTGGCGTTATTAATATCTTTGAAACCTAAACCCTTTTCAGTAAAATACTGCAGCGCCTTTACTACAGTATTTGCAAAGATAGTGGACGTACAGTAAAAGTAAAAGAAAATGAAAGGAATACTACTAGAAACGCTCTCTTAATTCAATACCATTAGTAGTAGGTGTTGGGATGCAATAGACTGTGCCTAGGAGATAAACTTCTGTTACACTATTGATAGGATAGAAGAAAATGAATCAATCATGATGATAAAATCATTGTTAATCTGTTGTATTTTTGAAGACATTGATCTTATACATGTACCTGGAGTGAGTTATTCTTCTACATAGCATTGTTGATCTTTGCAAATATACCGCGCTTGTGAATTGACCAACTGTTTTGTAAACGAACATCATACGTTAAATTAATATTGACGACCAATTAATCCTTTTTATAGACTATGGAGAATGAACTTGAATCTCTACAGTAGACAAAGCGATAGGTAGATTGATGTTATAAATGACAATTTCTCCTATGCTATACTGTGTACAGTATATCAAGGTACTTTATGTAGTCAAATGCCCAGATCCTATTATACAATATAATTGATTAATTAATTATTTTATTGATTATGAACGCTGTACTCGACTGTTGAATGTACAGTATAACAAGAGTAGTGCCAATATTATCATCATTCTAAGATGCTGATGGGTAGTTGTGCTATTTATTTAAACCATTTAAAATATCATTTTAAAGAAGATATACAGTACATGCGTGTGCCCACAAGCAGATCGCTTCTCACACTTGATCAGCAAATTATACAGTATACAGTAGTATAGTATAGTACTATAATTCGCATGCGCTTGCCAATTTTGAAGGTAGCATAATATTCAAGTAAATTTGCTCTACCATGGTACAGTTTACCTTCTAAAATATCCCTTTTACATCTTCTTTTATACTTCAGTAGAAACCAGTGAACGAAAAAAACCTACGCTCAATAAATTATTGTGGCCATCATGTACAACGGTTGGGTTTCCGACAGTCAAGAAATTATCAACGACACCAGCTATCTCAGTGTTTTACATACTTTTCCCCTCAAAGTCAGTAAAGACGTTACAAACGTTCTAGTAACCCAGTTCAATAAAGATCTTTGTGGAAATGTAGAATGCAAGATTTTAACTACCAGTCGCCAAGTTGACTGGGCAATGGAAGTTATTTGCTATGGACTAGCCTTGCCGGTAACTGAGAAAGATTCGTTACTATCATGTGTTAGTATCTACTCTGTTTGGCTTAGTGCTTTAGTGAAGCCAAAATTATCCATTCCTAAACCCGTTCTTAGAGAACCTGAGGTTTATGCAAGGAAAATATTTCAACATTTAAGAAATTTATTTGCACCACGCCCTGATGATGCCAACGATCCAATTTTGGTCCATTTTCAGGCTGGCCTTTGCGAAAAGATCCTCAATGATATGTTGATCATTTTGTGTGAGGCAAAAAAATTAACAAGGCAAACATGGAACGACAGCCTTAAATATTTACTATGGATTACAGATTGTTTATTAGCTCCACCATTGCGAATAGGAAGTTTAGGTGAAATGCTATCCCGTAATTTACTTTCTACATTGTTTCGAGTTTGGCTCCTAGCATGTTCTGACTCATTTCCCGAGCCTCCATTATGGAAGGCTTTAAATGATATGTGTAAACGATGGAGGCATCATGACGTTCTCATTAAACAATGGAATGAATTAAGTTTAACCCTTACTCTACATTTAGATGTATTATTACACGGTAAATTTTCACATAAGCGTAGCTCCAATTTCGAATCGGATTATTATACCATAATAAGAAGATTATCCAAAAATGAATCTATTCAAAGTTGGTTTCGATTCTTACATATTATTGGCAATCCTGTTGAATTAAGTAGCTACGAAATAATTGCTCGAACTCCTAAATTAATGGAAGAGGTGTACAAAAGTGAATTACCGTTAGACTTTAGTCAAGTTGGGGGCCTTAATAAGCTACCGTTAATATTTTTAATAGTAATGCAGGGATTGTCTAATATTGTAAATATTTTTCTGCGTTGTGAGAGTCGCAGTATCTGTCAATTACATAATTTTATTGTAATGACGACCCCAGGATTTCCTACTCGTATTAATGCATTACCATCCAATAAAGATATCATAAGAATATCTGACCCTACTGAAGGAAATGAGTTGCCAAATCCTGGAAATCTTACAAGTCATTCTGACTCGTTAGTTGCAAGTTTCAATACAAATACAATTGTACACCTTCTTGGGCAATGGCTATTTGAGGCCTCTCAAATTAAGGTATTCGCTTCGCTTACTACAGTAATGTCCTTTAAATCTGCAGTTTTAGTCCTTACTTTTAAAATAGAATATACTATTTTACTATTTTTCCTTTTAATTACTACCGTTTTCGATTATGCGCGTATAATTACACTCTTACCGAGCTAGTAGCATATATTGGATAGAATCAGATCATTGTATTACAAATTGAGAACGTTACATGGTATACGTATCTATGTTGGTTGCAGATTCTTGCAGAAGCTAAAGAATTCGAAGCAGGAAAAGCTGAAGCTTGTGGTGCATTGTGTCGCTTATTCTCGACGGAAAGATGCGATAAAACATATCGTATAGATTACCTTAGTCGATTTTATAACACCGTTAAACTTGGACTCCAAATTAACGAGGTAGTGACAGTAATCGTTAGTATTGTTGTAACTACAAAATGATAAGACATACTCTCTCAGTTATAGAGAATTTTTATAATTAAATATATCTCAACTAAGAATTTTTAACTAAATCTTGAACACAATCTTAATTATCTTATTCTTGACGTATTGCTAATTTAATTGTTCGAAGCATTTTTTGCTGACATAAAAAAGTTACCATTTACTGCAACATATGACCCTTACAGCAAGTTAAAACTAGTTGATGACATTTTTAAATGTTTAAAATTTTTACAGGTTACTAAAGGGCAAACTATGGCTAATATTATTCTCAATTCGGCTAATCTATTTCGATGCGATTTAAAAGGGGTACTTATTCTATTACCTCATTACATTCAAGCACTTGAAAAAATTCTACCATACAAAGAACCTAAAATAGAGGCCAATGTTCCAAAAGGGGAATTAAGGCGATCAGCTATACACATTCTTCTGTCTATAACATCATTTCCATTTCATTTTTATGATCTTCCAATTTATGGTGAGATACTAAGATACTTAGGGTTATGTTTGTGATATACAAGCGTTGACTAACCACTAATATATAATCAATATTGAATAAAACAATTTGTGCTACGTATTACTTCAGTAAGCTAATTTAATTGATAAAATCTTGTATTAACACTAACAAGTACCTGACTTACTTAAATATTATATAGACTCATCTCAAGGTGACACGAATAAACAAATGGAAGTTACAGTGTCTTCATTTCGTTTAAGAATTGTTAACCTAATGTTACAAGCTCTACAAACTGAGACTGACTCGATTAATACACAAATGCTTCTTGGTGGATTCTTGTTGTTAACCGAAGATACTGTTAGCCATTGCGATCGATGGAACAATACCAAATTTGACTTAAATCAATTTGCGAAAACTCAAGTTTCAGATGATGTTGTAAGTAGCTAAAAATTATCTAGACAACATTATATTTGAATTAAAATTTTACGGAATTTTTACTAACTTATCACCGCGTTAGAATTCGACAGGGAGTTTAAATTTCGGGGGAACCGATAGCGTAGATTCCGGTAAACTAAAAGAATTTGATACTATAATTTTATTCTTACAAGTAAAGTATCGCTAACTAATGGCTACCTTTGGCATATGTTTTGAAAGATACTGCTTCATTAAGCACAACATCATCTAATGCACCATTAACATCAAGACGTTCGGCATCGATCTTAGCTGAATCCTCCCTGAAGCCACGGTCTAATACGAGAGTTGAAAGCATTTCTTCTATACCTGAACCTGTAGAGCTTGTTTTTCCGAAAAGGATCATTCCACCTGAATACGGTAACTAAGAAGCTAGATTATTTACTACGTATTTAATCCATTTCTCTGTGATTTTTAAGATAAATACCATCATTTCATCTTGATTATCGCAGATCATCCCATAAGCCTTTACTATTTGTGCGTCTTGCTTATTGGGGAAAGATTGGGACCGCTATGGAAAGGGGATTTTAGCGTAACGTTAATGGCTTTGGATGTTCTATCAAACTTTGCCCATGTCCCTATTACTGCAGGTATAGTACAGTGTTTTTTCCACTACTAGTTGTTATTTTTTGATTTAAAAATAAGCTTTAATAGTTTGTAAACATAGAACAATAATTTTATGATCATGAAATTGGACTGTAGACGCGCTATCAAGCAAAACGGTTATTGATCGCCTATGCCAATATATTGAAAGTCAAATTAGACGCCCACCTCGATACCAATCGCGTGATTTACATTCCATGATTGTAGCATCATTTTCATGCCTCTTAAGTTGGATATCATGTCACAACCAACTGATGGAAGACAAGGTCCAGATAACTACTTTATGTTTAAAGGATGATTATTATTGAAACTCTTTTCATAATGCCTACTCGGATATAAATTTTATTTTATGTTTAGGAATGCTTAAAAACTGTTCTAGCTGTTGTTGAACAAGGTATTGCTGGAATAGTTGCCGAGGTTTGTTAATACAATTTAATTGTCTTAAGTTTATACGATTACATATAAGCAGTACTGATACATCAATTATTCCGTGAAGGAGGAACTAAGTCATGCTGGACAAGATATTCTAAAAGGTATAAAATTTTTACTAATTACTTTATGGTTATCTATAGATGCATTTGTACATGATTTAAGTCATACGTTTTTAAAATGGTTATGAAATCAAAAAATTTCTAGGGAACAAGATGAGAAAGCCGGCCTCAGGACGAGTGAGAGAAGCAGCAGAGAGCGTTTTTTTCTACTTACTTAATCATCTGGTAAAATTTATTGTATCTAACGGATTTATTACTGTCACAACATTTATATTTTGGTACCTAAATTTTTTAATTTAGAATGCCTTTCCATCTCCTTGTGGCCCATCTACTACTTCTTCGCTACTGAGTGAAGAAAATATATTAGATTTCGTAAACAACCTGCAACAGACTAAAGGAACTAAATCTGCATCGGAAATTAATGTTAATAAAGATGATATTAAATATTACGCTTTACATAAGAATACAATCATAGGATTACTAGAAGTAAATTTTGAAGACGATGGAGGTACCGTATTATTCTTTACACTTGCTCTTCTCGCTGGTTTCTTCAAAAATTTTGAGATTCGTCACATATTTATACTGTCATTATTCATGTCATATTTATGAACAGTTCCTCCAACAGTTATTATCATTGTACGAAATGCAACGGGAAAGTATGCATGGACAACGCAGCTAAGACATCTCGCATTTGAAGATTCGGTATTTATGTATAACTTTAACAAATATAATAAAGTAAAATAAATTGACTCTGTAGAGATCAGTTGCCTGTTTTATTAAAAATTTTACAATATTAAAACTTAGCCCAAAAACTAATGTTGTTTTACTTGCCATAAATCTTATTTAACTTCATAGAGATTAGCAGCTAGCAATTTGCGTTATATTAGTAGACCTTCTCCAATGGATAGTTTAGGTTCTCCTGACACCATTCAACACAGTTATTTTCCAAGTGATATCGAACGGGCACCCAAAACGGATTGGTGAGAGTTTTTATGCACTTAACATGTGAATGAGTAATGTGGTAATTTGGTATCCTTTAATCTAATGTACAGAATGACAATTTCTAGTTCGAATAGTATTCCTCCTTTAGAGACTGTAGCGGATGCTAAGACTGCTCCAAATCAAGCCCGGTTCAAAAAATTGCTATTTGATCAAGCAGAAATCGAGGAAGACTATATTGATAAGATTCTGCAAACTGACAATGACATCCCGTATCCAAAAGACAATATCGAAGCTAAACAGCCAAAGTTAGTTCATTGCACGAACACACTATATTTATCAAGCTATTCATCATTAATTATGCTTAAATATGCATTACTCTACTACTAATCATTTATACTGTAGACCTCAAAAATATTTTAAAGCAGGAAGAATGCTACTAACTCAGTTAGGGTTTCTAAATCTTGATATTCTACAAGTATGGGATCCTTATCTCAAATTTTAAATATTTAATCGAATACTTTGAAATTTTTCCGTCGGCTCACACAATTTCATTACGATTAGGCTAATCCCGATAAATTCTTGGAATCTGATGAGTCCTTGAAATCTCTTGTACAGCTGAATGCCTCGGATGATTATAATCGTGAACTGCAAATTTTAGATAGTCTTCCGTGCCGTATTCACGAAGTGGTATATACGCTCTATGTCAAAAGTGGCCAAAAAAATTTGGGTGACATCGTTCGTAATATGGTAAATTTGCTTAGCTAAACTTTTTAATCGTTACTATTAACTAGTATTCGGAAAGGTAGCAATGCAATATCTACTATGTTTTTGTACAGGATAATATGAATGATCTCAACAAAGATTTCATCAAATTTGTTCATTCTCTGGGGTGGTCGATGGATCAAAATACTTATCCGAATTGGCGTATTGATGTTTATTCTAAAAAGCCATTTAGTCGGCAATGCAGTTTATCCGATGAACGATCACTTTACAAGGAAGAGATAGAAACATCTGATATGACAGATAACGCCAAAGAGACGTCCGATTTTAAGAAACTTAGTAGGAACTCGATGTTTTACTATGGGGACGCGATATCTGAAATTGCCATTGTCCTTGTGGGGGCTAATATTTATCCGAAATTTAGAGCTGTAGATATGAGCTCAGTAGAACTAGGCCATGCTTCTAAAAAACTCATAGAGATGGCACCTTTAGCTGAAATCGAAAGCTTGACTCCGTTAAAGAAACGAAGGCCAGTTCTATCTAGAGATACATCTAGGGGAAAATTAAATCGGCCAAATGCCACTAGTCAAGTAACCGATCATGAAACTATCATAGTTTGGCTTGAAAAATTTGAAGATTATCTAACCTATCCTATAGAAGAAACCTTGCGCGAACTAGGTATCGCTAGCCATCAAGCTGATGGAACCCGGCGTGGAAGCTCTAGTAACATGAATAACAAAGGAGTTGAGTGGGAAACTACCATTATTTTCGTTTATCCTTTGCAAAATGGCCTTTATCGAATTCATCTGACATTGACCTCAGTATCGAAGTTAGTAAAATTGCGTGCTATTCTTGTAATTGATATGTTAGCTAAGTATTATCTTAACGCTATAATGTATTCTAAATTTTATTAATAAATAAATTTATTTAGGGGTGGCATAGCGGGTCCATTAATTCATGGCATGGCTGTTAGCAAAAATGTTTTAGGAAAACTTACTAGGCAGACTATACATAATATTGCCAACAGACAACGCCTTGAAGTAGAATCGTGAGTATGGCCCTAGTGGTCAGAAAGTAATATATACATGCACGAATGTATTCAATTACAAACATATGTAAAAATATAACTTTTTCCGATACGTTCTAGAGCAAGCTCACCTTTTTTGATCCGAAGAAATAAGATACAAGAAATTGTAAAAAAGCATCAGACTAAAGTAAATTTTCCGGATTATTACGTATCATCCTTCTAAAGTATAGATCTGCATCTGTAGCAGCCTACAATCACGACAGGATTTATTCATATCCTACAATTGGTCGCTATACTTCTCTTTTAATGATGAATTTAATCCCTATAGGGTCCAGTACCTACTTATACTTTTCACATTGTATCTGTGGTGTATTATACAAGTTTATGTGGAACATGTTAGAAAATGTATAGAAATAACTGTTAGAACACTAACAAAATATTATACATCTGTTTGTATTAACGAACAATTGTTAAATTTTCAAAATTTATTATATATAAGTGTAAATGTGCCAAGTCAAGAAATAGACACGATACTGTAGTACTGATTTAATTGAGCAATTTCAGATCATAAGTTGGTAATAATGCATCTTAGCTGTAAATACATTTGTTATGGTTCTGAACTTCTGATTGGCATTTTAGTTTTAATTTGTTTAGATTGGATTGAAAATGTGCTTCAATTTTAATGTACAGAATTTTATGGATACCAAAGAAAATACCTGAGGATTTATGAATTTTATTACCGTATTTATAAAATCTCTTTCAGTAAAGTTTTCAAATCATAAACAATATAGCAGGTCATTAGAATGTCTAGCATGACAGGAATGGTAGCTTAAATATGTTGTTACAAAATCTTATAGCTTGCTAGGGTGCCTTGAATATACCGTATGAAAAATTTTCGTTAGTTAATGCTACTGTACATTGTACAGGTTTGAGCGAGCCGAAGGTGGAACCTATATGAAAATATAGTTGCATCAATTCAGGTGTAATGTGTAACTACAGTACAGTATGAAAACTCTTTGTCAGCTTATTATTGAAGAGTCTTCGATCTAGTACTGTATCTACTTGGTCGTGTTCATTTTACTTATTGCATATTGAATGTAGCATACGTGCAATGCTCGAAGTAGCAACCGATAAATTTTTTATGCGAGTATTCAAAAGAACCAGTCCGTATGAAGAGGAAATATGCACAGTTGTATACTTAGCCGCTCGGATAATAGACATTACTCTCGGGATAGAGCTTTGTATATACTGTATATGATGTAAGTCCTGTATGAAATCATATTAGTTATATATGGGAGCTTCATTTTGTAAAATCAATTTCCATTTCATACACAGGAGAGTAGAGGTATTTTAATAATTTGGAATGGGTTACATGTATAGAGGCAAAAATGAATATATCATAGGGGGCTACTAAGCAATAAATAAACCTCCAGTGTAACATTAAGTATCCTTTGAAACTTCTCGGAAACCTAAGAGAAGCAGAAAGTGGCATCAAATGGATTATACATTACAAATAATTGTGGAAAACTGATTAGAAGTGTTCGCGTTTTGTAATAATCTCAATACTCAAAGTGATTTTATATTTATCACTTTACACAGGACAGGTTTCCTTATTATTACGCTGACTTACAGCAACTACTACACGTGCTGGTAAGTCATCAATATATCGAAGTCTGTGATACAAAGTATAACAACTTTACAGAAAACGATGAATAAAATTAGTTATTCATTTTGAATTTAATTTCCCTAATTTATTTATCTCGAAAACCAAACTAAATCGCCCGCAAGTCTTAGTGGCTTTACATCCGTCTCTGTAACAATATTACTGGCGGAAGTCTATTGCATCAGTACCGGTCCATTATCTATACGCACACTATGGCTACGCTCAGCATACTGTACATACAGTATACTGTTTATATATATACATATACAGTATACTGTACATTATAAAGTATACTGAGTATAGTATTTTGTTATTGTTTTTACTGTTTTTTATATTTGCAGTTTTAGGATAACACTTCCCCGTCTAGTTGATACCTCAGCAACAAGGAAGGATGTCGAAACTACAAGAAGTAAGTTTGCAATAGATGAATTGATCAATCGATTAGTATGCGTGTGATATCATGAGTATAGTGGATCTGATACTGTCGTACTGAACTACTGTTGTTTCATCGATAAAATATTCCGTATTCAGCCACGTTGCAGAGCTGTGATCATCAAAACAAACTGCTGGAGATAAATTGTCGTTTAGGATGGCGTGGATAGATTTGAGGGCTGAATGCCCTAAGCTTAGCTTTTGCCAGCATATACTGTATTCTGTTAGACCTAGTTGTATCTACAATATTGTGTGAGTAGAATGGTTTATCCATCATGATTGTGATATGATTACGAAACTTATGGTTGTTCAAATACAGCATGTGCTACACGATAGCTCAAACTTGTAAATTTTCTACCTGTTTGCAGTTTGATCATCTGATTGACTAGTTTTGTTATAATCGTAAACGAGTTAAATCGTCCTTTCACTCTAATTTTTTTTAATATGAAGAAATCTCTGGCAATTCCTCACAAAGGAAAAGTTCTTGATGCAATCATTACCATACCACCGAAAGGATTTAAATCTGGTCATGGTGTTATTTTAACCCATGGAGCTGGAGGTGACATGAACTACGAACATCTTAAGGTTTTAGCTAAACATTTGGCAGAGAACGGCATTGCATGTCTCCGTTTTACATGCAAACCAACGGTCATGCGAACGCGTGTTAACGCAATGACTTCAGTTCTGGTATTCGTTGCTATTAGCAGTACTATTTCAGCTCCTTACAGTAATTACTTACGGTATTCTTTATTCTATCAAACTAGGACTTTTGGAAGCAGTCAACTGAATATCCACTGAAAAAGTGCTTTCTTGCAGGTAAGGGATATCCGTCAGTTCTTGTGTACTGTACTCAGCAGTCATGGAGCATTCCCATGTCAGTTGAGCATCTAGGGTACGCGCTGTAAGCATTTGTTGTAATGCTAGCTATACTTGTTCAATGAGTTAAAAGCTAAGTAAGTTTCTGTGCACGATACGTTTTACCGGACGTTCACTTTTAAAATTAAAATTAATTAATAAACTGTAATATCGGCTAGGTCGATCAATGGGATCACGAGTTGCAGCAACGCTTGCTGAAGAATTAACTCGCGCAAAAGATCAATTTATTGTCGGTGTCATTTGCTTATCATATCCACTGCATCCACCTAACAAGACTACCGAAATTAGACATTTGCAACCTGGTGTACCTGTTTTGTTTGTTAATGGTAAGCGCGATGCATTATGCGACGCAAAACTGATGGAAAAGGAAGTTCAAAATTTGCAATGTCAGTATCAGTTACATTGGATCGATGGTGCCGATCATAGCGTACGAGTAAAAGGGAGGAAACCAAGTGATATCTTGCAAGAGCTATGCACTACTGTCGTGGATTGGTGCCACGAGATTTTAAGTGAAGGCGATGCTAAACCTACTATCCGCAAGAAAGCAAAAACTGTCAAAGATTACTTTAAAAAGTAAATTTTTCATCAGTTAGTAATCAATAACTCCCTGTACTGTATGATAGACTCTATGCAGAACTTATTTTTGAACCTGCCTCAGAAATGCATTCAAGTTTACCTTTATCCACGTATTTATGCAAAATATCAAATAAATAAACATGCATACACAGTAGCAGGTAATTACAGAAATCTTCTTGAATCTCCGTCTATTATACAGTACAAGACAATCCACTGTTGCGTGAATAAGAAAAATAATCGAATGAATCTATTATCCATCTACCCACATCATGCATTAAAACCCTTAGTAAGTAGTAAAGTATAAATGAAGTCATTTAATTGGATGAACCAAAAAATTTCAACATCACAGAGATTTGCGTCTTCTAGTAGTAGTCCATATACCAGTACAATACGCGTATAATACAGTAGAATATCACATTGTAAATTGTCAATTTAAGCCATTAATTTCATGATATAAATTCAGTATAAAAGATATTTGCATCTTCCACTTGCTATCTGAGCATTAAATACAGTAAAAATGGCATTGTACATTGGAAACTTTGTAGTCAAGACATCGCCAATTCGATTTTTGTCGATATCAAGAAAAAATAAATAGCAATCATCTGGAATCTACTACTAGACTAGCTCATTTGAAATGTAGTCCTATGATAGATAGTATGATTCAGATATACAGTGCATAATTTGCAGAGCATTGACTGATCGATAAATTATATAATCAGTCTACTAGAGGATTAACATCGTAATCAATCATTTTCCTATCTAAGATTAACCATTTTTGGAGGAAGCCGATATCTTCGATTTTATCGTAGTATGTCCAAAAACCTGATTGAAGATTATGACAAGTATATTCATAATTTTTACAAATTTCGTTAGCGTCCTGCCGTATAACTAACGAGAATAAACCCAAACTAACATAAGTTAATAAATTTTCATTCTGCAAATATAATAATCGATCGATGTGAGCATCCGATGAAGGATTGCGTGTTAAACGGCTTAACAAGGATAAAGCATTGCCACATTGCTGTAATTCTGCATCGAAGGACTTTTCATCAGGATTTTGGTGCCAAATATAACCAAAAACACCGGCAAATATACCTAAAAATATCGGTCTACTAGGTTTTCTATAGCAACTTTTGGCTATTCCTGTAAATACATCTTCATAATCGCGATAAATATTAATTAATGGATTGCCTAACTTGGTGAATAATTTTCTTGTAGCCATTGCACTTGGTGAAGCGATATGTCGTAGTACTGCACAGGCAATAGTGTTGAACCCCTAGCCTGGCCTGGCCCCTGGTCAGTGGGGAGGGTTGAGGCTTGAAAGATGGTGTAACATGGCCATGACTGCGCCTGCGTCATCTTTCTGGACTTGCGTACTGTACTGCAGGTCAAATTGGATTTCGCGGGAAATTTACTACAGCCTTGTCTGTAGTAAACTACTATAGCACTTGAAACAAGAGCTAGCAATACAAGATAGACTATGAAAATGAACCACGTATGATAGAAACTTCCGTGCAGATCTTCCGCAGTAGATACGAAGAAGGCGAGCATGTCGGGTGAAATTGTTATCCAAGATTTTAGCGAACGCAAATGTGCTAAATTGCATCTACTACCTTGTACAATTGATTATAATGGTCAAGCAAATATCGATTCTTACTTTGAACCAACTATTAAGAAGAATGGCGAAGGTGAATACCAGTTCTAAATGTACTTTCCAACATGAAACAAATACTGTAACTAGCAGCTAGAAAGCTCTCGATCGAGCTGTAAACAGTATTTTGATAATCATTTCTTGCTGGTGTAAAATTCTATCATCGTCTTCAATTATTGTGGTATTGTATACATGTATCATGCAATCCTGTAGCAGTAGACTATAGAGAATCGTTATGCTTGGTATTCATAAATTCATCTCAAATTTAAATCAAATAGATTTATCAGCAACCTATCGTGGTCGACCTCTCTGTGGCGCTAAGATGGAGGTCCCCGACAACTACATCGGTAACGGATACTCTATTCTATACCTATAATTTGAAATTAATCAAAGTATCCGTTCATTAACTACAAAGCAAATACGTATGGATACAGTATAGAAAATGTAGAATATTGTATAGTCTATACCATCTTATAATTCCAGCTATGATACAAGTAATTAGGAAATTACCCGTGCTATAGATTAAGCTTAAAAAACTAATCGATCCGGCGATATATTACTGTAACGCCATCAGCTCTACGGTTTACTACTATACTGTAGACGTAGTAGCGTATAAACATGCACATCATATCATCCAGTGATACAGCTAATTAGGAGCTAATATGCTAACAGCATGTGCAGTAATTTATCTCGCTCTTAGAAGAAAATCACATTCATCTTGTTTTTATGACAATAATTGACTATGCTTAAGGTTACATAGTAAATTTCATCGCTGTTATGGACGCATTTCCAGAGTCAAGATGTTTGTTGATTAAGTTTACGTTAATTCTGTACTAGGATGCGTTCTAAAAGAAACACAGAAGCCATTTGGTGAAGATGAGGTATCAAATCTAACAGGAAAATTAAGATTAAAATAACTGTGGAATGTCCCAATCATCCTATTAAAAATGCAGTTATTTGTGAAACTCTTTTGATTTCTTTTAAAGGATCGACGATTAAAAATCTCCAGCCATTTTAAGGAATTGACGTACTGGAATCTTGATAACCGAACTTCAGTTAATGATAAATTACAAAAAGCGATACTATGGACGAAAATTGCTACAGCGGTTAGTTTACTGTGCAGTTGCTCTATTATTTCATATGCCACCATAGTGCAAATTCCACATTTTACAATAATGCAATATCAATATCTCTCTAAACAAAGATATACTCTTTTCTTAATTGGTTAGATACATAAATCCGAAGATACCTAGGATTAACAGCAGAGATATTAACTAAATATGATTTCAACCTCCAAAGTTAACAAAGTGACTGAAGTATCTTTCTACTGTGACCCACACAGAACTTAGCAAAATAGCGTTACATGTATTATATCCTTGATATCGAGTACATGAAAGGGAATATTAAGGTGTATGACTTTATCGATTAATTTTTAGATTAACAGAAATCAGGTAAATTTTAGCTATTAATAATTGTATCCTTTTGTATATATTATTTAAACTAAAGTTAACAGTAAAACTTGCTCCTAGTAAAAATAAAATGAAAGAGGATTTTTATTTGCATAAATGACTTCGCCTTACGCGCATAACACGATTGCAACCACCCTTAGAAACATTTTTAAAGGTAATTTAATTTTAAAAGGAAAAGTATATTATCCATTAATCACTAAGCACTCAGTAATCATGATTAGCGATTTCTTTCTCCCAAAGACCAAACAAATCTTCATCAAAACTGGGAAATCTATCGACGAAAGACTTGATCATTCCTTCTACGTTCGATTCATATTCAGTAAAATCAACTTCATCTTCGCCTGCAATATTAATAGCATATGTGACATAATTTAGTGTGAAGATTGCTGCCTTGTTATCCAATTAAAAGTATTCAATCTTTGATGTCGCATAATCATTATAAATTAATTATTTATTACACACCATTAACTGAAGTATGACACTGAACAAACATGGGTCGTGGCTGTTTACGATTCAGAACAATATTTCTGAACTTTATTAATGGAAGGTTCGGCTGTTCAGCTACTGTTGAGTAATGCTCATACATCGACTTGGCAGCCTCGTAATCACCAGTCGCTTTATAAACCTGTAATCATTTGACAAGTTAACTAAACAATTTTGCTATAAATGAAACCTAATTTGCTTGAATTGTATACGTGTATAATACTAACCTGCATTTTACATAAAAATTTGCCTATTGCATCTTTACCGTCCGTCGCTATGCGGTCTCTGTTTAAGGTAATAAGCAAATCAGGCTTACCATCTTCTCCAGTCATTTCTGAAATAGTCACGACTGCAGCATCAATTAACACGCGGGTGATAACAAATCGAGCCTGCATGTGCGCCTAACATATGACAGGAAACTTCAGCTTAACAACATTCAGTAATTACAATTTAAAAGTTTCAGTATAACCTGTTTCCAAGAGTTTGTTTCTGGAGTAAAAAATTCTAATCCAAGAAGTCCACCGCGTACCATAAGCAACCAATTAACATATTTAACAGTTTCAGCAGCTTCTCCTTCATGACCAAATATTCTAAATAGATCAAAATATTAGCAATTATACCATAATTAAATTTAAAGATTTCCACAGCTGATAATTAGAAAATAGCATGGAAATAGTTAAAAAACCTTAGTACTTTATCTAAGAGACAGAGATATAATCCTACGCATTCAGCGCGACACTCTTCGTAAGAAGAACTCAATGATACAAATTTAGAATCATAAGTTTCACCGGGTTTATACCACTTTTCAACCTTCAGTAAAAAGTCGTAATAATAACACACAAAGAGGATATTTCAAAAATTGAAAACATAATTTCAACCGCGTACACTGCATAGGGACTATCAAATAATCAAATTAATTTACCTTCTCCCCAGTTAGAGGATTTAGGATATCACAGTCAAAATCAAATGACCCATCTTCGAGCTAAGGAAAGGAAATTATTTACCATAATTTAATCATGGCTAATTTCGCGTAATTATCAATCTGCCTACAGTACCTGAGAAAATAATTTACCACTTCCGTGACCTAGTAACTCATGCAAGCCGACCTGAACCTCAAATGCAGGGCCTTTCAATTCTTTGTATAGTTCCTAAAATAAATACCCCATAGCGAAAACATCGTCATATTTTCTAATTGGATATTCAGCTACATATTCGTATTGCAAAAAGTAACCTGATCCTTTTCTGACAAGAAAGTGACTGCCTTATTGCTCCCATACGATGATAGGACATTGCCTAGTGATACATTTTTAAATCCTTCTGTCTGACGAATGTCATCATCTAATTTAAGTCATGTGCCGGTAAATATCATTCGGTTAGAATAACGCGATATACTGTATGTTACCATGTAATTGGAATATCACGTACATTTATGGGATAGAAATCCTAAAATAACACAGCCACACAGATACTTACAGTTTGGGATATTGATCCCAGCTGGAATACCACTGCCAGAAAAGCCAACGATATCCAATGAAGTAAAATCAGGCTTTAAAAAAGTATCTTTCTCAAATGTCTTTGGCCACGGTAGTTCATCGAGTAAAGTTTCAGCAGAGTTCACCAATTCCGAGAACTTAATACTCATGGGCTTGTTAACCACGGCAACGAATCCTACAAGATTATATTTTAAAATATTTACTCTGATATGCAACATTTATTGAGTGCAATGACGCTGTACAAACTTTGTTTACAGTTAATAATAATTTTTATCATCTGAAAACCTTCAAATTCTCCACGAATACCATATGGATCACGATAAGTCTCAATGAAACCAATATAACTAAAGGAGATCAATTAAAGCATCTTCATTTAATAACGAAATAGAGTAAAAAAATTACACGCATGTGAAGATTTTACTAACACTTCGATAATTGGGCCTTTATTTTTAATCCAAAATCGGGAACCGTTTTTGTGAGATTCTATACTTCCAGTTGTGAAGCTATGGGAATATTCCTCTAACATCGATATCTCATTGTTATTGGAAGCATAATTCTAATTTATAAGTAACAACAACATCAATTAATAGATAAGATTTACAGAGAAATAAACATAATAGAAGTAACCTTGGCAGCTTGTAGGTTTTTTACTAATCTTTTCATTAACGGCGCATAATCTCCTCGAGTAATTAGTATTTCGCATCCTTTGTAAGTGTGCTTTCCTAACAGCTTTGCCATGGTATCTTCTCTACCTTGGCTATCTCGATATGCTTCTTCTACGGTATTGTATAATTACATGAATTAGATATTAGCAAGACAAGCAATTCAACAAGCTATACAATAATCAGGTGTGGATCTACGATAAGCATAAGTTGTATTGAAATCATTGAGCTAACTATCTATTCGTTTCATGATTATAAGCTACTGCCTTTACATACCAGATTTTTCAGCTGATGCAATCTTTAACTCATATTGTACTTTAGAACCATTTTCGTATTTGAATAACCTTGTATTGTAGGGAGATATATCCTAAACCAAAAGTAAAAGCAGCAATTAAGTACAGATCATTAAAAGGTGATCTAAATTAACATTTAATCTATTATCCTAGCTATGAATAAAATATTAGCCTTCAAATGGTATTAGACTGCAATAGAGATATAATTTATATTGTAAAGTATACGTGTATTTTAATACTTGCACAGCCTCTACCAACCATTTCTTGCATGAAATCTTTGATAAATTCTGCATCTTTCACACTGCAGTTACTCGAGTAGTAGGTACTAAGTCCCTAGTTTGGCGAGAATAGAAATTTGCATCAATGGAATAATGATTATGATACATGCTAAATAAGATAATCAAGAATCGAAGAACTAATCTATAACAAATTATACCTGTTTGCCTAAACCTAATTCTAAAACACGACTCTGAATGGAATACATCCGATCTTTACATAGATTCCACAACTTTTTCATGCGCTCGGCTTGCTGTTGGTAGGCTTTACTGGCTTGAATAATGACCTCCAATTTTTCCTACCAGTGGTAAAAATATTGACTTTTCTTTTTATGGCACTCTTTTAAGTTTACTAGGGTTTGGATAGAGTCGTATGTAAAATAGACACTATCAATCATTTCATTTCCGAATTACCTGAGGAATACCAGGAATAAATTTGGTATCTCCAAAGGATTTATAATTACCCATATTTGAATAGAAAGCAGCACTATAAATCAGCAAAGCCTACATAGTATGTAAAGCAAATAATGATACCGTCAATAGAGAAAAAGCCGTAGCCAATTGAAGACTATCAGTAAGTACCTCTATCCTACGAGCACATATTACTGGTGCTTTTATCAATTTATTACACTCTCCTATTCATATCTTCTATACTAATACTATAAAGGAATACAATATCACTACTGACATGAAATTCAGCGTCAGATGGTCCATTAGGAATCGATTGGCAAGCTGCTTTCAATTCATCAACGGTTTGTGCAGAATAGAGACTTTGAAATAGAAGGAAAATAATTGGCGATTCGGGTGAAGTCTGCAAGAAGACTATTAAGCTGCCTTCCCATGACGCTTTCGATAAGTAATGGGCATAGTGTTTTTCCACATTCGTCAATTCATTGAAAGCAACAGAACAATCTAAATTATTGATAGTCGTGTTGGGATCAATTTGTACTCTTTTCGCAGTCTCCATTTCCTTTTAATACTATCGCTTTCGTCTGATAATTGCTATATGTTGGTGAAGAAGAAGCAAATGGATAAACTGGATATGGAGAACGGATTGTCTACGAGATGTTTTTATCAAAGGCCCGATTCTACTTTCATACTGTACCTAGTATTAGGTAGAGATGAACAGTACAGTACAGTACATCGTAGTACACTAGGTAGAACGTTTCATGAACGGGCGTCTGGATGTCAGTCCAAGCGTCCATAGTGGATAGTGGATATGATAGTTCATTTTTATCATTTGTCTAGCGCTGCAGGGCTCCAACTTATTCCATTTTACCATGATTTACTATACAAATGTTTATTTTGAGCCACTTATTTCATGAATGGTAAACCATCCATCATTATAATTGATAGAAATTGTTGATGGTGGTCACAACTAGCAGTGTAGACTACTTTTCTACATTCTTGTTTAGCTGGTATATTAGAGTCTGAATCCATAGTGGTTAGTTACTAGTTGAAGATATGGAGAAAATCAGCCTGTTCTAAAAAAAAGAATAAATGTCACCCCAGTGGTCGCTCTACCTATAGTATTCTACCATAAGGAGCACTTTTAGGGACGATATCAGTTTTGCTCACAATTTGTAAAGCTGTTCACTGGGATACACCTGAAGCTCATTCAGTCGGTACGGACTGACGGAATACGGTACAGTATTCCGTTTGAGTCATAGTTTAGTCTTGAACTACTAAATTACATCGAGCGTATCCAGTAAGTCCAATGTTAGGGTTAGGATCTGAATCCATAGTGGTTAGTTACTAGTTGAAGATATGGAGAAAATCAGCCTGTTCTAAAAAAATAAATAAATGTCACCCCAGTGGTCGCTCTACCTATAGTATTCTACCATAAGGAGCACTTTTAGGGACGATATCAGTTTTGCTCACAATTTGTAAAGCTGTTCACTGGGATACACCTGAAGCTCATTCAGTCGGTACGGACTGACGGAATACGGTACAGTATTCCGTTTAAGTCATAGTTTAGTCTTGAACTACTAAATTACAGCGAGTGTATCCAGTAAGTCCAATGTTAGGGTTAGGATCTGAATCCATAGTGGTTAGTTACTAGTTGAAGATATGGAGAAAATCAGCCTGTTCTAAAAAAAAAGAATAAATGTCACCCCAGTGGTCGCTCTACCTATAGTATTCTACAATATGGAGCACTGTTAGGGACGATATCAGTTTTGCTCACAATTTGTAAAGCTGTTCACTGGGATACACCTGAAGCTCATTCAATCGGTACGGACTGACGGAATACGGTACAGTATTCCATTTGAGTCATAGTTTAGTCTTGAACTGCTAAATAAATTACATCGAGTGTATCCAGTAAGTCCAATGATTCTACATACTGTATATGTGTAAAATGGATGTCATATTATTTCTTGGTATTATATAGGGAACAAGGCTATAGCCAACGACATCTGTTTTACGTCTAGGTGTATACAGTACTGTACAGTATACTGTTCGTACAGTAACACTATACGCTGACTACTGTACCGGGACTACATGTACAGTACTGCAAATGCCATACTTAAGGGTGGAACTGTACTGTAGTGTACCGTACCGGATCGGATGACAAGCAGACCTGCTTCAAAAATGGCGACCATGTGGCGCAGTTTCCGCAATCAAATCGCAGTATACAGAATTTTAGCTGACAATGTATAACAATTTTGCATGATTTAAGAGTTGAAATAAGCTCATTTTTGAACGTACCATGAAAATCTTGCCTATTTTCTTTAGATTTGGTCCACCAATAAACTTGTAGCTGTCAATCAGCATAGGTAAGTCGATGTCGAGCATCTTCGTTGTACAATGTCCACATACTGCATGCAAGAAAAGGCAAGGAGATCGTTCGGCGCTATAATGCAATGCTCGATTTATGCCAAAGCAATTGTTGATTACACTTGGATTACAATGGTTGTGTAATTGTAATATTACCATTGCATTGAGTAATTGATTAATGCAAAAATCTTCAACTTGAATAATCCAGTTAGAATTACACCTTGCCTAGATCATGTTAACATTGCGATCTAACCTTAGGTTTATGGGCAACACAACTTCACTGCAGCCCAAACAAGCGAAAAAGGTTAGTATACTCGTAATAGCGATGCTAATAAATGACTAACTAATGGAGATTATCATGTAATAAACTTAATTTAATAGATATGTACAGTATTTATCTTTGAATATATCTTACCACGCTTGAAAGAATGGATAGACGTATCTCTGCGTGCACTAGTGAAAGGTCTGCATCGTGCTATCACACCAATTAATGAATTCATTAATCAGAGATCAAGTACTACACTGCACAGTACAACAGGCAAATCTATTAGTACTTTAACTGCATTATCCCATTTGAGGATCAAAATTATTCTAAGAATATTGCTTAAAGAACATACGCATATACTGATCTTCGATACAGCTTCAATAAAGTACTATTCCCGCTACATTATAGGCGTAACAGACCAATATCAGTCACACTTTATATAAGTAACGTAACCAGACAAATCAATTGGCGACCTATGTAGTATTGTATAAGATACTGGGAATAGATATACTACCTAAACAGTAGTAAGAAATAGTATTTTGACATCAATTTTGTCCCCCAAAAACAATTATATGCAAAGAAATGCATTCTTGTATTCTTATCCTTATACATACGGTACTATGAATAGATATTTTAACTGTAGTTATAAGAAAAAGAGTTTTTACATCCGTTAATTGAGAAATCATATAACAATATACAAATTAGATACATTTTGAAATGGATCATTTCTACTCATCATTAAAATAAACAGGCAATTGACGATGGCAATCAAGTACTCTATGGAGAGATTTCTATCAAAATTTTAGGAAACGATTTCGCTGTGTTAGACAGCTATGCCAAATTTCTTCGTATGGCTGCAAATAATCTTAAAATTAAAATTTCTGGAAGGTTAGCTTTCATCTCCTTCATTTTGATATCGCACTAAATACAGTCTTATACATCAATCATTTACAAATACACGTCAATAGTAATTAACAGTGATCGATATTCTTCATTATAGGGTTGATCTACCAGCCAAGATTCAAAAATTTACTGTATTAAAATCGCCTCATATCTTCAAAAAGCACCGTACACAATATGAAGTTAGAACACATTCTAGAATATTAAAGGTTACACAAATATAATCAAAATTTAGTCTTGTTATTCTAGAATTTCAATCAAACTGGACTTTATGATATTGCGCCTGTTGAATATAATTCTACTTACTATGGTATTTCATTCATTCCATTGACTAGGTAAGAAATTTAACTGCTAAGACTGCTGATATCTACCTAGAATACATACAAAGAAATATACCCGAAGGAGTAGCTATGACTGTATTCGAGGTGATATGTGCAAGCCAATAAATTATTATATCTATATTGCTATATAGCATGCAATCATTAATTTAGCAGCTTCAGGGATGATAATTTTAATTGAACGTAATGTACGGTACCATATAATAGAAAGAAATGGTACAGTTACCAAGTTACTTGAAAACAGAAGCAGCCAAATCAAACGAAGCAAAAGATAGTGAATAAATTAGTAAGTGTAAGTGTAAAGACAATTTAGTAATTTTTTTTATAGCCTATATAACAATTCAATATCATCTATTCTGCTCTCCCTAGTTCCATATTGGAATGCAACCTGGTCTATATTGCAATGCAATACATTACCTCTGCATAAAAGATTGTAACAATATTCAAGTGTAGACCACTATCTAATCACTTGGCTCTCTTACAATTTAAAAATGGCTTTTTATATAAATTCAATTTCGATGCCCTAAATTACTCGGTATTGTACCATTCATGCAGTAACATAAAGTTATATCATCATCGAAATAATACAATGATGTGATTGTGTAAAACCTCTCAGTTCTATTCTCATCTTGTATGAATATTAATAATGTTATACCTATTTCTTAAAATCGTAACCAATAGCCAGAGACTGATACAGTATATCAGTCAGATATGTTACAATTTTTAACGCAAGAAATTATACGATTGATGACTGAAATCAAATCATTAAAATATGTAAATATTCCTATATATCTGTACTTTGGGAGATCTACGTCTGGTTGGCTATTAAGAACGTTTACAATACTAAAAATTTTTATCAGATAAAAACAATACGTTTCTATCAAAAGTATGTAGACCATTGATTACGTTAACACTATAAATGATCTAGTAATATTTAGAGGTCTCCTTACTGTAATCAAGAATATTGATCGACAACTGTAACTATCTAATTAAGGATAGAATTAGTATGTAAAATTTTAATTACAATTATACTTATTATTTCAGTTAGCGAAAAATTTCTATACTTAAATGCAGCCATTGATAAATTTACATCGATAGTCAAATATGTAGTATCTCTGATATATAATTATTTTTAACATTAGCTATTGTATTAGTGTATATGCACTTAAAATATAGATGTTCAAACAGCTGTTATTTTAAATTAGCAAGTAATGTTAGATTTTTTACCAAATCATCATAATCCATAAGTTATGGCAAGTTGCTCACTGTCAATAATAATAGTTAACACCAGTCTAATTCGCAAATAATATAATTATTAGTCAAAATCGAAACAGCTTCTTCGTACTGTATTCGTATTAAAGCATCTGGTAATCGTTAGATAGGTTAGGTAGTGACAGGAGAGACGTATTAACGTCCTTTTCATATTGAAGTATTAGATTAATTACTATTATTTTACCGGTATCTAACGACTAACATTACTGTTTCGATAACGTTGGATTAAATTGTTATCAGTTAAATTAGCATTCCAAATAGCGATATTTATCCATAATAAATTGGGACACGTTACCGGTGTAATAAAGATGTAACAGAATTTATTTCGAAAAGCTGTAATAAAATTAGATTTTCGTACAAAGTCTAGTTATAGCAATCGTAAAACAAGCGATATATCAGGTTCATTTTGACTAGTTCAAACTCTAAAAAATTTTTTATAACAGTTATTTCTATACTCATAAAAATTTCTAATTTACATGGAAATTATTCTCACCCGGTGAAGTAAATCTTAAAAATCGGAGTAATTTTATAATCTTTAAATTACTGTCTCTTTACATACGCGTACCTATGCGCATTTATCAATTCAATTTTAAAGTCTTCATTTGGAACTCTCAAGCTCAACTTAATTTAAATCAATATCATCTATACCTAGTAAATTTACTACGACCCAACACTTTTTATAAAATCTCATACCATCCAATTTCAATATCTGATAATATTTTCTATTCTATAGCATTGTATCATAACATTTGTTACAAATCTCTATTTACTAATATCATTGTGAAATTAGCATATTAACATCCAGTATTATCTAAAGTGGCTTTCACTAGATGCTACCAACGGGATGATAAATTTTAGTTAATGTGCTATCCAAGACATTTAAAATCATGCAACGTAAATTCAGCTGGCCTATTATAGGTAACAGTAATCACTGACAGGTTCCGAAATAGAATCAATGGTACCGGTATTGGATTTTAAAACGGATAGAAATATTTTTTAAACCGTATTGCCACGAAATTAAGAGTACTGTTAGCAGTTATAAATCTCTCGTTCTGTATATCATAATATTGCAAACAGTAGTACTATACATATATTACCGTATGGAACAATATGCAACTTTTGTCAAGATCTAAATACTATAATTTTCCGTTTTGTTCGGTGTAGTCTAACCAGATATTATTTATAAACTACATTGCGACAGAAACATTAAAAATAATATGCGATCGGAGTTAATAGCTTAACCTACAATTTTCAATAATTTCTGTATAGTCAACTAACTTAGAATAACATTCTTTAGGAGTATTATTACTTCCAAAAATGAATAACAAGATTCGGTTAATGTATGCCATTATAGGTTACGTTGGTAAAATTTTCGTTTGCTCCACTAACTTAGCAATTAATTGCCCATTCCTTTTCGCCCTCTTTTATCTCTGTCTTCTTGATCTATCATCATGAATACGTAATAAATATATAGATTAAACTGATTATATCATTGATTTAGTTCCATTTTTAAGTAACTGATCAACAAGGATATGATATGTTGTAGGATTGAATTAATATGATAATTTTAATAATTATAAAATCTATTAAAATTAAATTTTGAATTAACGAAGCACTTGTACAAATAATCTCTCAGTTCATATTTGATGGGATAGATATGCGGTATTTGATTTTCGATCATGATGTTGAAATATTCGCTATATCACTTTTATATTATCAAAAGACATTACCAGCGCAAATGATAAATTCGATTATAGCTTAATCGTGTCTTAGCAATACTTTATACGATAATTTATCCAAAATAAAAGTAAATTGTTAGCTTAACTAGATCAGTTACGAAATCATACACATTAGATCCGAAAATTGCCATAAGGAATCATAAATGCTGTATTTATCAGCATTTATTTTAAAAGTGTTTAGCCACGACAATGCAATACCTGCTCTTTCTTATCATGTTCTAATACTCATGGTATGATAGAGAAACAGATATGATAGCTATTCACTTTAAAGACCATTAAATCAACTATGTCTTGATTATAAATTATGGACCTAGATGATTTTAGTACATTATGTAGGTTTACAGACTGTGTATTACTCACTAGTAAAATTTAACCCTAGAATTTATTAATCAGCTATTGCAGCCTAATAATATAAATGGCTTTTGTCTATTCTCAGTTCTCTTTTAATTGCTAGATATTCCATCTTGAAACATAATTTACTTTTTGGTATGAAATGATTACCGATTACACATGTCTATTAAAGTTTTACCTTACTGATGATATTATCTTGGCATGCCATTCTAATACGTTCTGCTGTAGCAGGACTATTAAATTCGAAACTCTTCGATAAGTTGCGATCCAGCCTTCAATAATTAAATGAAAGAATGATTGGATTGCAACCACGGTACCATGTTATTTCTAAAGTTATGCGAACTATTAGCTCGTTATTCTAACATTAATATTAAACATAAAAATTAACAGTATTTAATTCAAGCGACGAAATTGCTATAAGATAGAAATTACGTATTAAATTAAACGAGCTCAGTATATTTATATCAATAGCTAAATCATATAAAATTTTTTAATTTAAAAATTTGAGTGTTTAGAATTTAACCAGTGTTACAAATCTTCTTTGTAAAAGAAACCGGGTCTTAAACACTATCTTCACTAGTACTTGTGTTCCAAACTAACTTAGGGACCTATCGTAGTTGAACTAACTCTCAGCTACACAAAAAAAACTACTATAAAAGGACTGTTATTTACCAATTCAAAACTTAATCTTGATTTAAAATATAAGTAGTCGTATACTTTTAAATAGTCTGTTAATGTTCTAATTCAATACTGATATAATAACCAACAAGTATTCTACGGCCAATAACGGCACTAATGCTGCAAAACTATCAGATACAACTTCACAGATAGACTATATTACCAAGAAAATATCATTAATGTGCGTATCCGGGTATACGAGTATAAACACTTTCCGCTAAATAAAAACTACAAAATATGATATGCTTAAATTCTACTGGTGTCGTTTGATTATAGGAAAGCTTTTAAATAAATAAATCTATAGAAGATCCAAGTTTACCGGCATGCTTGAACAGCATTTTGGATGGCTAAGAAAACGGACGTTGCTAACGGTAAAGTTGGCTCGCCTATAGCCTATTCTCACAGAATACAGTTCAATCAAATCCAATAAATGTGATTCAGACTAATTGCAATCAACTTTTCATACTCTGCAAGTACTACGATATCAAAAAATACTAATTATTTCATCTGGCAAAGGTAAGTATTAAGAATCACTCCTAACCTTGGATGAATAAATAGCTTTATCGTTAAACGAATTACGAATCAAAGCAACTTGAAATTCTCTTGGTATATCCCTTGCAGTGGGGATTTTATAATTTTCAGGACTATTCATAAGTGGTATACCTTCAGGCGTGTGATATAATTGTTCAATTGTGTATAAACCAATACCTTGTACAAAACCACCTTCCACCTAGAAATAGAAAAGATTTCATCTAGCACAGTTATCATATACGAACAGGATAGTTAAAAATAGTAAATTCTGTTAAATACACATTAGGTTGAGAAAACAGCATTATAGGTAAATGAATGAAATACTAAAGCCGTACCTGACCAATATCGATAGCAGGATTTAAACTTTTTCCTACATCCATCACAATGTCAGTTCGTAAATTCTGATACAAAGGTGATTCATAAACAGTAGTTATAGAATACAATTAATTATGAAGTATATTTGAATAGAAGCAAGGCATCTGATCTAAAAATACTAATATAAATATTTATATCTGAAATTTAAAATAATTCCTCTTTAATGTCCAAACACTGACTTGATGATCGCCAGTCAAGGTATCAATTTCAACTTCGGAAACAGATGCTCCATAAGTATAGTATTTAATACCTCGCCCCGTTTTAGTTTCAAAACTGAACGTGATTGGATTTGGTTCTCTATTCAAGTAATAGAACAACGCCAAGGTAGCGATAGTTAAATCAAGCTAGCATCTCATATATGTATGATACTTACACGAAATATCCTGCAGCCGATAGATTTACACGATTGTAGTATGCCGCAATAATCTTAAATAAAAATCCAGTATAAGAGAAGAGGTAATGATAGAAAAATGTAATAAATTTGTAAATAGGAAAGTTCTGTACCAATTCTACCCAGTTTGCTGTTGGCATTGTGGCACGAATCGGATCAAGTCTCTCCTTTAATTTTTCACAAGCATCCTATAATTACAAATCAATGATAGGATCTTACATATGTATAAACGGAAAGGAGTCTAGTTCTACTCATAATCAAATAAGGTTTAATAGGTTATGAATACGGTACACGAATGTGAGCTGTTTATTATTTTCTATCTAATGATTAGTCTTTACTTTTGTTGCAGCACCATACAAATCCGTAGCCGAAGAGTTAGAAGTTTCAGTAGCATTAGGAATGACAGCAGTACTAGATTCAATTAAATGAATCTTCTCTTTAGGTACGCCAAGTATATGAGAACAAATCTTTAAGAATAGAATATTAACATCAAACCTTGAAAACGAAATCACTTCTAAATTTATATAAATAATTATAATTCTTTTGAGAGCAGTTTAACTTTGATAGTGACGATTTTACCTGAACTAGTTTTGTATTTAAACCTTGACCAATTTCAATTCCTCCGTGAAAGAGTAAAAGTGATCCATCAGTATAAACCTGAATTAAAGCTCCAGCCTAGGATAGAAAATGAGCATTAAAAGGATATACAAGTGTACTATACTGTCGAAGGTATCGTTGAAGCTTTAGTGCTTGGAAGTGGAAAATTTTAGGTATAGTATATCGGCTAAATGATTTTATTAGCAGTTAATCTATTTTAATACAAAAGTATAGGCCTATATCAACCAAAAAGTAAAATTTATACTAATTCATCACCGATACACTATTACTTTATAGGCGTATGTTTGGTTTATAGTTAACGCTATACCTGCTCCATAAATTTAAATCCAAGATAGCCAATCCCAAATGAACTTGGGATGATGGCAATACCCCGCTTTTTAAACCGATTCTTTCTAGATCATCAATAAAACATTACCTTAAGAATTAAGACAAATTAAATAATGGTATTTCTAAATTTTACTGAATTCAGTATTGGTATGTACTATTGAACAGGTAAGATCGTCGAGGGTATTATAAACCACAAATGTGTACTAATTTTAAGCCCGTATCACAGATACATTCCCATAATTGCAATTCGCTCAAATTAATTACAGTTACTAGCCAATCTCAAGTATAATTGATACCTCTCGCTAATTATGCTGAGCATCACTTTAAGCTATATTTTATAAAATAACCATACATTTGCCAACTTTACTTAGTCATTAGATATTTTCCGAAGTAAATCATTTTTACAGGATGAACTTATAGTATATCAGTAGTTATATTAATCTCAAAACCTTTAGGTGGCATCTAACCGGAGTCAAACAAAATAAATTTTATCGTACTTGTTAAATATTTCGATTTGTTGTTTACGATTATCATAATCGCTTCTCTGAATTAATTCATCCCAGACTTTACGAATCTGACAAGTCTCTAGCTTTTGATTAAATGGAGAAACATAACCATCGATATGCAAGCACATTTCTCTAACCTATAAATTGCCGTTTATATATAGATGCAACAACGTAAGAGATCTACGTTATTGTGTATAAAAGATTAAGCGCGAGATTACGGTATAGGTATCTACGAGTATTAGACTACAAAGTTACGCATAGAGTATTACTTTTCTCTGGCTTATTTCACAACGATTGGCTACTTCGGTCATGATTTTTTCCGTTATCCAGATTGCCTAATTATTATGATAAAGCATATATATTTTATTGGGATATTATTTCAATCGGCTAGTAGCAATACTATATTTTATGAATGGCAATTATATTATGATGATAAGACCGACTGGGAAACAATCAATAAATTGAAAATTAATAATTATAGCAATTAATTTTCGATACGAATACATAAGTTTTGCAATAGTATTATTATGAAAGCTACCTGGGGAGCACCAAATCCTCTAAATGCTGTAGTTGATGAAATATTTGTTTGGCAAATAGAACCACTATAATCACAATTTTCAATCATATAAGATCCAAACAATCTGATCATAGAATAGTTCATAACCTAAAGTAAAGGAGCATTAAATAACTTCTTTACATAAAGAAAATATAATTCAGTTCTCTCCGATTTACTCGTTTCCAGGGATACTATAATTCGTAATTTATAGAGGAAAATACTTTTAAAGAGTTATTGCTTAAGCACACCGATAGCGAAAGATCTCTAGAATATCCAGAATTGCTGTACATTCTAATTTGAATCGCTTGAATATGGCCGTCATTATTAAAACCAACCTAAAATAGTTTTAAATTTTGTACAAATTGAAAGAAGAATGCAGACCCGTAGAGCCTTTCTTCTATTGTAATTATAAAATAGATCTTCCAGTATAATAACAGCATATCTATAATTTGATATTTTGTATCTTGGTAATTTCCATATTAATTTAAAAATGAAAATTAGCACGATTCTAATCTATACCTTATATTTTGCTAAATATGGGGCTCTACTGCCTTTAATTGCCATATCAACATGTCTATCAATCATCAATCGGATTGGCCTTTTCAATCTGAAATCAAATAAGCCTTAATTTAGTAATACTAAATGCAAGAGCAAAATCGATGCTGTAAAACATATATGATAGATATAATTAGAATTTATTTCTCATACTTTCTAGCAGCTACGGCTACACCAGCGGATATGGAAGCTATCCTAGTATTCTTACCGCCAAAACTACCGCCTAAAATATTAATGTTAGAATTGTGTTGTTTTAATCCATCAAAAGTTAAAATATTGTATTCATGAAATCTAACTGGTGTCACATAATGAATAAAATAAAACTAACAATATCTCTCCATCTTAAATATGAACTATATTTTTATAAACTTAATCATGTTTTATATTCAGTATATGAAACGCGAACATTTAATATCACATATGCTTTTATTACGCTATTCATAAGAGTACTATGATTAATTGCAAATATATATATCTAAAATCATGTATAGAAGCAACTTTTAACATTCATAGAAATGCATGAAATGCATAATATGCCACACACCTATGCGTTTTATGTGGCAAACTATACAGTTCATAGGTATTGCTAATGTTTCTGAAATAACTGATTGCACCAAATCTAAACACTGGGTAGCAACATGAACATCCAGTTCCATTGCTTCTGCTTTAGGTGTAACAATAACACATTGATTTTCCATGTAAAAGTGCTCCTAAACTCAAAATGAAGAGAAATCGAATTACATGCTCAAAGCCGCATATAACATCTAATCTAAGTGAGAAAATTAATTTCAGGTCTATAAAGCGATCATTAAGCCACATGAGAGAAAGTTAATACCCAAGAAGATAGATAATTCTTTCCGTCGAAAGAGATATTATTATAGCCCTACCTGACCGCCCATTCGGATTTCATCCTCAATAATGTGGTGAGAGTTGAGAAATCCATTCTGTATGTTTCCACTTGTTAGATGAAATGTTTCGAAAATAGATTCTTCTTTAATTGCATCCTGAAATAGGATATGTAACATGATATCGACTTTCATTATCCTGGTATTAATCTATATTTATGATACTTCAAGAATCGACAATTACTCATCATCACCTCAATAGTTAGAATTGCAGGTAGATCTTTATAACTTATTTTAACAAGCTTAACCGCTTCATCGGCAATTTCTTTACTTTCAGCTATAATCATTCCAATCATTTGACCATGTGAGGTTACCTGACATACAGTATATACATATAACCATTGAGACTATAAATTTATGGTCATGTAGAAAGTATTATTATTATGTTGTGGTATTATTAATGAACCTTATCATTTGAGAATATGTATTCATCATTTGCCATTTCTCCATATCGATTTGATCCAGGTACATCTTTTGCCGAAATGTACTCATGAACGCCAGGCAATGAAATTGCTTCATCATAATTAATTGATCTGCCAAGAGAGAGAAATTATATATTAAATTAGATAGACAATTAACATCTGCTATAAATGCACACATCTAATCATTATTTGGCTGTTCAATGTTCGTATACAAAATAAAATCATATTGCGGTGCAATATTAAGACATCAACTTATCTATGAAATTTTACTTACTCTATAATAGCATGAGCTCTTTCGCTTAACACGATACTTGCATGTAATTCATCTAGATTCACCCCCAAGTAACGACAAATAGGCACAGTATTGGTATAACCTCAGAGTACAAACTGATCGACAAAATTACAGAATCTTACTCTTATATTCAGGTATATCCATTAAGTATTGTGCTTCTCCGGTAGTTTGCTGCAATGCCGTGAGATGTACAATAGGTCGCCTTAACGCATCATCCATTACCTGTTTAGGATTGACTTTCTATATGTTTTAAATGATTTTTATGAAAATTAGTTTGTGGCCTCAACCAGTATCTTGCTTAACCTAAAGAATTTATAGGATTGCTACTGAAACAATTTCTAACCCACCATTAGATGAATTAAACACTATATGATAGTTAAAAGGGTGAAAGAATAGCTACAATACGATATTGATCCTGGTTACAGAGCTAGGAATAGTTACTTCGAAAATTTGAATTCCTTTGGAAGGACAGCGACGAATATTAGTTTTCACGCTAGAATCAATATTCGGATCCTGCGACAAGGAATAGTGAAATAATGTAATACATTGCGTTATTATAATGAGAATAAGAGTGTTTTTTAAAGTTGTTTTGATTTATTAAATAATCTCCGGAATAATTATAAGAAATAGCTAGTTACCTCCGCAGAGATCTCTGATAGAACTTGCATAAAAAATTTAAAAAAGAAACTAGCTGCTAAGACTTTCCTGTATTCAGTAGCACCACCTTTGGCAGAGAATGGTAGAGGCAAGTCTTCACCAATTAATGCAATAGCATCTTCAAGCATTGCTAAATTCCACTCCCTATCAATATAAGTAGTATGCAAGTCGCAGGATTGAATTGTACTTAAAATTATTACGATTTTGATCAAATTGTTATCAAAGAATGCCAATAAAACAGGAGAGCTCCATTTAAAGTACTAAAATACTGATCTAGTCAATTTCGAAAGTGCAAGATAATAAACGAAAATTACTCTTAATTCAAGATCTTATTGAAATAGTTCTACCGTTTTTAGAAAATAAGAATAGGAAAAAATTACTAAAATCCAGTCGTACCTTCCAATTAAAGCCGATGATGTCTGCTTTGCTATCAATATCTTTGATCCCATACCCCCGTAAGCTAATGTACAATCTTTAACCAATCCAGGGGTATCGAAAATAGATCTATTCAAAATTACACGTAAGCCAGCATTGACGATAGCAAATGAATTATCGTATCGGCGCGATTGTTTATAACAAAACATATATTCATTCTGATAAAGGAAAAAGAAATAATGGTTATTTGTGAGATTGGATCATTATCATTTGGCTAAGCTGACAAACTGTAGCCTATCTAGTTATATATATACACGTATCATTAAGTTTCACCGTCAACTGAAAGTACAGCAGATATACCTCGGTAGAAAATGGAATTACAATAGAGGTTAAAATTTCTTGAGAAGTTAATTCACATTTTCCATCATTAGTAAAGAATGTATCGTCAATAACAATTTGCTTCTCTGATCCTAATTTTAATTAAGGTAGTTAAAAGCAGATTTAATTACGTGTAAACCAAAAGTTAGGTGTGGACGAAATTCATTAAAGAAATATACCAGGCGATATGATTCAACTAATACGTCTATTACCGTCTAATGATTTTATTCTGAGCTGACATTTAGCTCCGACTAAGATAGTACATAAATCAGATGTTGATCTTGCAGTGACTAGATTCCCAGCTAGGCTCTATACATGATGCATAGAATATATTATTAATAGGAATAGAATCCAATAGTAGCTATATAGCTTTATACGACTACTATTGATTTTTACAGTAATGGAAATTCGATATAGAAAGAGTGATCAACTTAATATTAGCTACTAATATTGCATTTTTCCTAACATGAATATAATATAATATAATACACAATAGCTATGGTTAAAGGTATAATTATAAACACTTATTACCGTTGACTTTAACTAAAATTACAATGTGAATACAGTATAGTAAGAATAATTAATTTGATATTTAGTATGGTACTTGTTATTAATTAAAGATCAAATATAGGGTTTGAATATTGATTCGGTATTAGTATCCTATTAATGTTTATAACCATAACAGAAATTACTTGAATTTGATTAAAATTTGTTCTATTAAGACTTACGGCTACATTTCGAACTTGGCAGCAGCCGATACGCTTTAGCATGGTGATAAATGCACTGAAAATGCGTGTTTTATATTCTATACAAAATGGATATGAAAGTAATACAGTAGTTTTAAATTTAGTTGAATTCTATTCATTGTGAATTACTAATAGAATTTTTACTGAGCGAATACAAAACTGCAATGACAATTTTAAATTTTTACGATATAGTAATAATAGTTATCTAATTCAATAAAAAGGAATCACAACCCATGTTTATAAATGATATCAGCCGACATGGCTATACGTGGATGTAACTTAAAATTGCAATATCATAATTGATATTACATGAAGAACCATTTAGAATATTTTTATGTTTATATAAACTTATAGTGACATGTGTATTAATAATATAATGGACTATTTATAGCCTATAACCATCAGATTCCACTATCCATGACTTGTTATAGATTATGATTTCATAAAATTTCATCAATAATCAATGTTACTATCGTAACAAATATAGTTTAAATTGATATAGTAGAGATTGTATCTATAGATATTGACCTGGTAGTTGTATAATTATTCTTTCTAACTCTTCCATCAAACGCGAAATGGTAACTGAGGAACCAACTAAAACTCCATCGTCTAGTTTTTCAATATTGTTTAATTCGTTGACGTTGGCAGTTGATATCAAAGCATAGTGATTTATACCATGATATTTTGTGTTTATACCTGAGGTAAATGATATGTAAAATAGAGATTAAGTAACAATGAACTCAACGTTAACTTAGTAAAGAATCGGATATTATTGATATTCGAGCAAAATACAACTCTAACTCAAAATCTAGTGATAATAATAATAACATTTTGTGCAAGTTAAAACAAAGTAAGAATTGATCTCCTTACCAATCTCAAGGTGACCACCAACTAATTTACTATTGGGATATTGCTGCTTTACTGATATTAGTTCATCAAATGATATTGAACTAACCCATGTTACTTTATTACCGAAGATAGTTAAATTTGTTGGCGGCTTCTTACCTAATATCTACACGCCAGAAATATTGTATTAAGTATCATATCGTATCCGCAGAATCAGTGAGTATTTGTTAGAGAGTTCTCATTCGCTATCAAGACTACAATTACCAAAAGTTCAGGCGGAAATATTAATTCCTGAGAAGGATCATATAAAGAAAATTCTTGGGGATTGTACAGCTCTGTACTGACAATATCCTTTTGGATTACAAAATTATAAAGAAAAAATATGTTATAAATTTTTAAAGCTTTTTATTCATACCTACACAAGTTCGCACTTGCCTTGTCAAGTTCTGTGTTAACTTTATCTAATTCAATTTTGTTACAGCAATTTTCCTAAAGCACATAATAGACGATTTTTAGTACCTGATTGGGAAGTAAAAACACCGAACACGAATGATTACCTTGCCACAGAATGTTTTACATCCTTCTAAAATTGGTCTATAGCCCGTACATCGACATAAATTACCTACAGAAATAAAACATTCCCATTTCTGAACTACTTAGATACGTATTTGATTAAATCATATGTAGATTTTAAAGAAAGTGACGGCAGAAGAATAAGACTTCCAAGGGCTTTATTCCCTCTTTTAAGCCGCTGCTTTTAGTTCGGAAAGTTAAAATACGTTTTATCATAACTCCTAAGTGGTAAGAGTATATTTCAGCACTTATAATGTCCATTTTTCATGTTAGCTTATGTCAGTAATATACAGAAATAGTCTAATTGTATGGTGAGTCAATAGAATATTTCTTGTAATCCTCGATAACAGCTAGGAAGTTCTTTAACACTTTTCTTACATTCACTTGCCATCAGCAAAAGCCAAAAGTTCTTACAATTCCTACCTTCAAAGGCTAATTCAATTTCTTCTGGTGTTGGCTGTGGGTTATTGCGTAGCAGAGCATACATGGACATGACAAAACCAGGGGTGCAATAACCACATTGGGTGCCATGGACTTTGGCAATACGTTCCTATGAAGACTTTAGTGATCAGCTTTGTAGATACTAATGGGATTTATTATATAAACAGTAACGAAAGCCGTTATACGTTTTTTTAATCCTCACAATGAACTACTTAGTATGGCTTACCTGGATCGGATGCAATTTTGTTTCTGTGCTACCAATACCTTCTACAGTAGTAATTGCTACACCGTCTAGTAAGCAGACAGGCATTAAGCACGAATTCGCGGCATAATGACTACAAAATCGTGCAGCTAAGGAATCCTATTGCACCTAACCATGGGCTAAGTGTATACATTTTAGCTCACAACGAATCACATTTATATAGCAGAATAACTGACTGTATTAATATAAGACTTCATCGTGATTTAGACCATATCATTACTGCTTGCTTTACAAAAAAGACTCGGCAACAAAAATATTGTATATTACGTAAAGACTGATCGAAAACATAGTTCAAGGTACATATTTTACCACGATAGATTAGGATGTGAAAAAGGATACATCACTTTTTGCTGATAGCGATCATATTTGGATATCATAATGGTGCATGCACCGCAACCGCCTTCGCCACAACTCAACTTGGTTCCCGTTAAGTGTACTTTTCCAAGATTGCCAAGTTAAGGATAATTTATCTTTAAGACATACTCAAATACTGAAGAGGTGTATGTGAATAATACGGGTATTATTATTATAACTGTCAGCAAAGAGACGGGAGTTTGCACTAGTATCATTTAATTGGTGAAATTAAGCTACTCAAAATAGTCATTTGCAACATTTACTCGTAAGCAAGTGAGCGTAATAATTCTCTGGATAAGATTTCATCAAAAATTAAAGGTCTAGATTAGTCTAGAAATTGCTAGGACTCAACGCTTATAACAATAATGTGCGAATATTATTATTTCAGATTAGCTATACGTGTATTGAAACAGTATTATTACTTAAACTAGCAGAGAAACCACGGGCTTAGACAAAGATTTATGAACAATTTATAGAAAATCAAATAAGAGATTGTTACCATATTTTACTAGCTGATCATGAAAGATGCAAATATGTTGACTGCTTCTCTGTCTCTAAAATGTAATCAGGATACATTCATCGCGAAGTAGCTGTAAAACGGATTGTTCTGGCTCTATCTTGCTTCGGCAGTACTAGCAACAAAGTCAAAGTTCATTTGATTCATTACTACATTGAGTCATATAAGTGCTACGATTCCTATAATGTTAAGATAGCTCATACGCCCGTAAGTATTAATCAGCATAGAGTGTCTGTGTTGGTTGCTAAAGCCTTTTTAAGTGCGATATCAATTATAACACCACACCTGCTACAGTTTCCTTTGCAGCTTATTTTGCAAATGAAAATATCGCAACTGCAACGTCTTTAGAACAGCTAGATCAATCCTAACCAAGGTCTACGATAGACTAGCAATTTCGACAGATATGTACGAGTATATCGCTAATCTTAGCTCTCGTACCTAAAAGGTCATTTTCTCTACAGTAGACTGCAAAATTTACAAAGCAGTGTAGAGACATCGTTGATACTGGCTCTACTACTCAGAAAAAGGCTAGCGTTAACTAACTTACTTAATAACTCGTGATCATGTAAAAGCATGTTATAAGGTAGTCTCTAACATCGAATCACTTCTATCTCAATTCGAATGCATGATTACATATACACTGAATAGACCACATAATTCATGCTACATAAAGGATAGTCCATGGTAATCCTACCACTTGAAAATAGTTACTGTAGACTGGCGACTTGTTATTCTATAAATTATATATGCCAAATATATAACAACCGTAGGGTAGACTACAAAATTTGGCTACAGCGTAATGTCGTTATTCCTACTTTTATAAATAAAAACGACTAAGTTGCTTTAATCTATCCCTGTTTCATTTTCGACAATTAGTCTACTCGTATATGGTGATTTTCTAATATACTACACTAAAGTAAGCGTTCTCTGTACTTAGAAGTAGTAAAAGTCTCTTCTGAATTGCATTAAAGGCCTATCATCGATATATCCCAGTAATGACCATAGCGATATATCTCAATGCTATATCTTGCTAGTACAGCTAAACATTGATACGTTGTAGTGAGTAGGAGTATGAAATAGAAAAATCGTATCGTTATTTATTAATTTCAATAAATTAATGAATATGTAATACACATCTCAATTTCCTGTTGTAGCATGAAATTACTTCTAGAAGATGGAATGATAGTACATAGGACACCAACCTTTTTGCCGTTAAGGTAAAATAGAATAGTTGTTCTTTTAGTATCCATTGAATATGGTAATGACAATTCTAGTGTCGAACCTAAATATCAGTAGTGATGCGATAGAAAACATTAATTTTTCCTCTGCAATAATTTATCTTTTATTACTGGATCAATTTGGATTACTTTAAAAGTAGTTACGCCACCCGTGTCCCCTACTTCATGCTACGATTATTAATGAGCCTTTCACTATTACCATACTATTTCAACATTTATTAGTACGCTAGCTCAAATCAATCAGGACGCTTATATACTGTAGTACTAATATATTATTTTATCCACAGAAGTGTTATAGCATATTATTCAGTAAATCTCAATACATCTAAATAATTACTAATATTGAATGTATAATGATACACAAGATGATGATGATCGTAAAATGGTAATAGAATCCTTTAATTTATTCCACACCTTTGTTATTACCATGTATAAGTTAGGAGGTGCCTTGCGATTGTTTTGTAGAACTTAATTGAAGTCAATTAAGCAATAATTACGCCAAAATAATGACTAGGTCAGTATCAGCATGTGTAGATATGTGATTCTTATTGGAAGCGATATTATTTTGGAGAGCTTTATCGTACTACCATCACAGCTACCTTCAGCACAAGTTACCTTGTATCCTGTTAAATGCTGCTTTGGAAAATTGATGGTTAAAGAAGTCCTTTCAGGATTTTTAATATTTATTCATACATTAGCAAGATTAAGTGATGCCATGATCGTATGTTACTACACACCGCATTTGGCAAATATTTCTACTGTAGTATAGCTCGCAAATAGCATCAATACAACCTTATGTAGTGAAAGTTGATAATATTCCTTGAGACTGAGGCTATGCCAAAATGGAATGTTCCCATATACTGCTACTAAGCCATCAAGCTGTCTAATTTAAGCAAAAATGATCAAGTTGACTGCAGTACTTTGAAAGAAGCTCAACTGTTCAGCTGTAGTAAGATAATAGTAAATATTGATGGCATATGCCTCCAATAAGTATTGTAAGAATATAACCATTACGAAAGAACTGCAACAAGGATTTTTAGGTTAAAATTGAGTCATATAGGATAATGGTAAGAGTCAATAAATTTTCAATTACTTATAGCCGCAAATAAATTTTATTCCAAACTCTATTTCTTAAGTTAGTCATGGTCCTACCAAATTGACTGTTGCATACGTGTATATTAAAGCATACGAGTACATATTACCAAAGTTAGTACTACTCGTGAGAGGGTTAGGAGATATATAACTACAGTCTAACATATCGATAATAGGATAATTTACTCTCATTTCGAACAATGTGAAAAAAAGTTTTCTCGACGTTTTAACCCTCTCAAATATTTAAATTGATCTTATTCAGATGATTGAGTTTAAAACCAGAGAAAAAGCCGGGAACAGACTGCACCTTTAGCTCCGCAGAAAGTAGCAGGATTACCCGATTTTCTAGCCAATATGCAGAGGAAAATGCTAAAACTATTGTAGAAATTATACCGCGAGTCTACTATCAGGTTTGTCCTCCCTGACATTAACCTAAAGTGCGACTCTCAATACTGATGACCTCCTATCGTTAGAAGGAACAGTAACACCACTAGACTCTCTTAGACATAACTGAACCCAAACTTTATTGAAAAGTCAGTCAATTTATAATGAATGGATATAAACATTAATAATTAGTTTATAGAAGCTATGCAGTTATCTATTAAAAAATATGTAAAACATCATAGATAACGGTAGGTAAATACATTGATAGAAAAGTGAAGTATCTGTCCTTTTTTCTCACTTTCTTGATAACCTGCTCCTAGTTGGATCTCTTTTGAAGTTATTAAGCCCTAATACAAACCAAAGTTCATGTCTAATCAACGTCTGTGGCTGTTTTCATTCTCCTATCCATTATAACGCACTTCAAAGCAGAATAGCCAATACAGTCAGCTTGCTAAGCTTTTCTACACATTAAACTGCTCTAATGTGATAAAATGATGCTGCTGTTTGTAAACCTTAGCCTATTTTAATGTATAAATGATGGACACTTTATTTTTTCACTATCTGATACAAATAGCTAATTTCATAACATCAATGCTCAAATAACTTTAATTCACGATTTTTATTAAAATATCTATTCTTTTTTCTCACTTTCTTGATAACCTGCTTCTGTTCGATTCTCATTTAAAGTTATTAAGCCCTAATATGGACTAAAATTCATGTCTAATAAATTAATTAGACTGTTTGTTTTCCTTCTGCTATCAATTATAGCGCACTTCTAAGCAGAATAGCCAATACAGCCAGGCCGCTAAGCTTTTCTACGTGGAAAGCTGCTATTGCTTGTAAACCTTAGCCAATTTTCAATGTGAAAATAATTGACATTCTTCGATTCGCAACAGTCTTACAAAAGTAGACATTAAAATTTCCACATTACGTTTCTAATAAGGCTGAATTGAAGGTAAAGCAATTCGATCGCAACTTCAACGCGAAAGGTTGATTTTGTTAGGCTACCGGTACCAACGTCTCGGATTAAACTCTACTCTATCTATTTTGATTAACTCAATATACAATACAGATTCATCTATTGTAGCGTAAATGTAAGAGATGGCGCTGTTACTAAGGCAGACGTAAGTTAATTATTGCATAATTCAATTTATAATTTAATCGATATTGACAGCCGTTATCAAATATGAAATTATTTGATTTCTGTGGATATAAGGTTGGATAACGTGTTGTGAATGCAATTAGTTGTCTACTTGTTGCCAGATACGATGATTTGATTCGTTACTAGGATAATAAAATAAATATATAGCGTATGTCCTGCCGGTAATAAGTGAATATTTTTCATGTCTGGCAGTTATTGGCGGATCGGACGAAATAATAGCATTCATTATCTAGTTAATTGTCAAGGTACAAGCTAAACATTATAGAGAGAACAATCATGTGGAACTATGTCTATCCTAATA